AAAAAAAGTTTTTTTTTGGGGGGGGGGGGGGCCTAGCGAGAGCCCACTCAGTCACTCCCATAAATAAGTCACTGCATTCGAAGCGCGTGAATTGTGGCTTCTGACAATGCAGGTCAAGAGATTCTTTTTATTTATATACATTTTCCTTTATTTGTGAGATTATAAATATGTCAAAACTGTGTTTATATGTAAATTATTTTACTATGGTAATGTTAACCATCATAACGACAATACTGTCAAATGTATTTTTGTGTGTTGGTATAATTTTGATTTGTATCGTGTCGCACTGTTTTTTGGAACCATTAACGATGGATGCCTACGACAGAGAACCGTGCCCAATGCGAGTTATGGATGATATCGGCAGTGGGTTTGCCTTGGGCCTCATCGGTGGAGGAATATTCCAGGCGGTTGAGGGTTTCCGAAACGGGCCGGCCGGGTTCAGAAGGCGTTGCAACGTGAGTGTGAAAATCACAAGTAACCACCAAATCAGACAATTTTTAATACGTTGGGATTTGATTTCCAGAGCGCTTTTCAATCGGCCACCACCCGAGCTCCGGCCATCGGCGGAACATTTGCTGTTTGGGGTGGCCTGTATGCCGCCATTGAATGCACAATGGTCGGCATCAGGAAGAAAGAGGACCCATGGAACACGATTACAAGCAGCGCTCTGGCCGGCGGCATACTGGCCGCGAGAAAAGGGCTTCGATCTATGGCGTTCAACGCGTTTGGTAGTGCCGCATGTATGGCAGCTTTCGAAGCCTACGGCTGGTACTCGGAGTACAGGTCAGCCGAAAAATTTAGACCGCGAGCGCCAAAATATGACAACTAACAGAGACTCGATTATGGCCGGGATGACACTATTGACTATGGTCGGTAGTTAGCCTTTTTGAGAGCAGCAACTAAACATCATAGCCAACCACGTTTGGGTTTTTGGACCGCTGTGTTTAAAAAAATCCGCGTCATAGCCGAGGCTGTCTTGTCGATCTCATGTTGCCATTGTAAATTGCTGTGTACTACTTAAGATAGTATTTACAATTATTATTAATTTATAAACAACATGTTAATTTTAGTTAGGTTTAATATTACGCCTTTAATAAGTATAATACAGACCTATATAAGTCCTGAAATCTGATAACATTTTTGACATAATATTTTAGTTGTTAAATACTTTTTTTATTTAATTCTTATAAGTTATATAAAGTATTTGGGATTCCATATAAATGAGTCCTATTTACTTATTAACTCAACATCTGAAAAAAACCTTATATTATTTTTACAGTATATAATAAGTTGATGCATGTTTGAAAATAGGGTCCGGTGAGTGGTGATATGAGAGAAGTACGTCAAAATCTTTCAGTAGGCATCTCTAATCATATCGTGGCCTTAATAAAACGATCCGTCCCTCTAAACTAAACGTCTTAAATTGCATTGAAAAAAAAATGTAAAACCACATTCCTAAATCCTAATAATTATAGAAATAATATACATATGATTTAAGATTAAAAACATAATTTATTTTTGTTCACTAATTAAGGCGTTACGTCGTCTGCACCAGTGTAATGTCAAAAAAAGTAACAATGACATATCATATTATTTAAAAATATTTCCAAACCATTTTCATTGATATTCAATTAATTAAGTTTTACATCTTTCATTTGATCAAGATTATTTTTGTAATAAATAATTGTTTGAATAAAACGCATGTGCATACTGGACGAGCTACTATATTCAGTATACACCCTTCTATCAACCACAATAATTACTCTGTCAATTAATTCAATCTATGTTAAATTAATATTGATAACGCAAAGCAAATTTTGTGTTCAAAGAGATCCTTTATTATATATATAATTATATATATATATTATAATATAATATAGGATCTCCTTGAACACAAAATTTGCAAACCTTTGCTGACTCTATGTGAGTTTTTAACTGCTTAAAACAATTCGTTTCTATGTTAACTTCTGCTTGTTGTTTGAATAACCAGACGTAGCAATTGTATAATGAAAGTAAATTAAAAGTCAATACTTAGATTTTAATATTTTCAGCAAACAATATGCATTGTATCGAACCGTTCTGCAGATATATTTTACGTTAAAACAATTACTTTTTCGAACGACTTAAACATTACTGTTATGTTTTACCATAAGTTTGAACGTAACTTCATGCTACTTCAAAAAAAATCCGAAGGCGACCAAAAACTCAAAAGGGGTTTCGCCTGGAGACTTGATGGTATGTATTTCGAACACATACAGTTATTATATTATGTAACATAATACAGCCATATGTTCTTCTCTCTCATTGTTATTTATAATAACTGTTTCAAAAAAAAAAAAAAAACTTTTATAAGAACACTTGGGATTTTAAAAGTTGGTGAATTGATTTAAGCATTTGAGAGTCTAACAGGGCGATTTCACATTTGGGCTTCAGAGTAGGTAATGCAAAAACCCAGCATGCTGTGTAGAAATATCTTAATATATAATAATTTAGATATTATGTTAAATTTTTTTTTTTAAATTAAGTGCAATTATTTACACGCGGCGGTCGATCATCAATTTCCTAATAAGTATAAATAATACGAAGTAACCCGTAAGCAAAACATGTAGTAATTTATTTTAAATATTAATAATAATTTAATTGTATACAGCTGTAAGGGTCCGGAATTAACTACACACGAAATAATTGTACTTAAGTTTCTCTGCTCAGTAAAATTCTTACATATTAAATTCAAAATAAAATAATTGAAAAAACATTTTTTTATACCTATGACTGGTTTGTTAATTCTAGACCTTTTTCTAGTGCTTGATTTAGTATAAGTAATGTATTCCTCAGACGAATTTATAAAAAGGGAGTGTAATTATTGGAAATATTTTTTTCAACTAAATCAATACATTTCTGAGTAATATATTCTAATCTCACTTGGAAGTAAAATAAAGATACCTAGTAGGTACCGACGCTAAAATATCTAAACATCTGAGTTACCTCCCCTCTACTAAGTCAAGTACAGAGTACTGTGTGGATTAGGTCTATGTTCGATGATGCCATTTTACTCTCGATTCTCCCTTTATAAATTATTTTGGACAACCGCACAATTAAAATTTATTTATTTAAGTAAATTTACGCATTTTAGCACTATTGTCATTTCAGATAATTGAATTAAACTACTTTAATATTTTTTTCGTTTGTAACTTCTCACTTTCACGTTGTGGTCGTTTTCGTTATAGTTCATAAATCTCTCACATTTTCTGCTTAGTAAAAATTAATTACTTACTTTAAAATTTGCGTCCAGTTAATCAAGTCACAACATTTTGTACACCAACAAGATTTTTTTAGAAATCAAATTACCAATATCTATCCCGTGATCCTGATCCTACTGGATAACCTCCTCCGTACTCTCTTATACGCAAAGTTTGTCGATACCGGGATATTTTAGTCATTCAGTTAGTTTTAAGTTATGCCCGGATCAGCTTCGATGCGTAAGTCCACCATTGTCTGTTGCGTGGCCGCTCAGTCTGTCGATACCGGGATATTTTAGTCATTAAGTTAGTCTTAAGTTAGTCATAAGTTAGTCTTAAGTTATGCCCGGATCGGCTTCGATGCGTAAGTCCACCATTGTCTGTTGCGTGGCCGCTCAGTCTGTCGATACCGGGATATTTTAGTCATTAAGTTAGTTTTAAGTTATGCCCGGATCGGCTTCGATGCGTAAGTCCACCATTATCTGTTGCGTGGCCGCTCAGTCTATCGATACTGGGATATTTTAGTCATTAAGTTAGTCTTAAGTTATGCCCGGATCGACATCTATGCGTAAGTCCACAATTGCTTGAAACGCCCCTACCACACATTTCTGGTGGTTGTACAGTAAATACAATTTGAGCATCATCGTAGATGGAGATACCACATTAAAAAAAAACGAGCCAAATACTCTACCTCATAGGTGGTTTGGAAACGAGTATACAATCCCTAATACGAAGTAACCGATAAGCAAAACATGTAGTAATTTATGTAAGTTTCTCTGCTCACAATCAGTAAAATTCTTACTATTTAAATTCAAAATAAAATAATTGAAAAAACATTTTTTTATATGTCTGGTTTGTTAATTCTAGCATTTTTCTAGTGCTTGATTTGGTACAAGTAATGTATTCCTCCTTATTGACGTCTTCCAATAAGGTACACCAACGAAATTCGAAAAAAACTAAATTTCATTGGCGTGTCCATAAGCCTAAGCAGGCGATAACGATAATATCACGTATTTATTATTATTTAATTCTATTTTAGGCTTTAAAGTTAGGTTTACATCAAAATATTTTTCTTTTTTTTACATCATTTTCAGAAATACTTTTAAAACAATGGAACAAAAGACATAAAGGAAAGGTATTACAAATAATTTTCGATGAAATTTCGAGGGGGGGGGGTTTGAACCCGGAAACCCTCCTTCCCCTGAATATGGCCATGAACAATAGATACATTTTTTCCGATTATTTTAATTTCTCCCCGAAAATAAGTATCGCTTGTGTAAGGTAGATATTTATTACATTAATAAACCCCAATTAAGTGTCTCCGACAGCCCGACTACCGTGTAATTCAAGCCCAACCATACGTGCAATTCCTAGGGACGAAGCAGAGATATATTCTCTACATTGTGTTCCTAGGGATGATATTTGCATCACCAATAATTGTTTATATTTTGTGTCTACATAATATCGGACTCCGGGCAAATGGCGGCGCCGCCTGTACAGCGACGCTGAACTACCAAAATGCCTGAAGCAATCGACCCCGGATTTTTAATGATAAGAAGTTGAGTGGCGTCACCTTATCTTGTCTAAATCGTGTCAAAAACTATTATCTGCGTACCGGCAAAAATCTTAGAAGAAACAATATTATTATTTAGTTGTTTATTCCATGACGGTTCTTTATCAGGGTCAACAATTTGAGATACTAAGATAACAGTATCACATGGTAATCGGCACATTTTAATTTGTAATCAAAATTACATCATATTCACACACGTTGCGAGTTTTTTTTTAAGTTTGAAAATGTACTCAAGTCGGACGTGTCATTAAATTTAATTTTTACTAGTCAGTAGAAGAGTGTAATCAAATTAATAATACTCCTGTAAAGGAACAAGATGGTGAGTTAAAACTTTTTTTTTTTAGCACTTATTCTACTTTCTATACTTGTAATTGAGTTTGCCTTTTTAAAATTTGTTGACGATACTAATTTTATTTTAACACTATGTTAAATCATTGTTGGCAGACCGAAAATCGGAAAGGTACCGTCAAAGTAGAATACCTGAGACAAATTGAAAGGGAAATTCAAAGCCAATGGTATGAACAAAAAGCTTATGAAATCGATGCACCTTCAAATAAAAGTAAAAATGTCAAAGAAAAGTATTTTGTTACTTTCCCTTTTCCATACATGAATGGCCGATTACATTTGGGACATACTTTTTCCATTTCAAAATGCGAAGTAAGTGGAATAAAATCACAAGTAATTATTTTTATCACAATATTCCTTTTAGTTTGCGGCGAGGTTTCAACGGCTGAAAGGCAAACAAGTGTTGTTTCCATTCGGATTTCATTGCACAGGCATGCCAATTAAAGCGTGTGCGGACAAACTTAAATATGAGATGCAAACGTTTGGCTATCCTCCAAAGTTTCCTGATTCTGATGACGAAGAAGCTGTCACTGAAGAAAACACTGATGTCATTAAAGACAAGAGTAAAGGCAAAAAAGTAATAAATACCCGAAGTAACAGCAAAAATTGCATACTTACCGATTTTTTTTATTAGAGTAAAGCTGTAGCTAAAGGAGGTAAGGCTAAATACCAGTGGCAAATAATGAAGAGTTTAGGATTCGAAGACAATGAACAGATTCGTAGTTTTGAGGATCCGCTAACATGGTTAAGTTATTTTCCACCATTGGCAGTTGAAGATCTTAAAAGCATTGGCCTGCATGTAAGTATAACGTATTAACAATAATTGTGAATTAAATTGTATTATCTTTGTTCGGTCAGTTGTTTGTGCCAGAATTAGTAGAGAGATCTTGATTTTTTGACAAGGACCGTGGCAGCTTACTGTTGCGGTTCGCTCATAACTTTCTCATATTATGCTCCTTATGGGATTTTTTGGTTTTTAACAACACCACTACTTATTGACTTAGTATGATGGGGTCCTTCAACTGTAGCTGGTTAGGACAGCTATGTTATTTCCTTTTTCTTTTCTTTTTTTTGTGATTGTATTTTATATGATTTTATATATTATATAAAAAAATTGGTTGAGAGCGAATGTTTTCGAATTATTTATTCTTTCTGAAAATGACATTGATTTTTACACGTTACTTATATTTATACTCAAGTATGGCAAACAATTAGTTAAATCGTTATTTATATTTGTCAAGGTCGATTGGCGCAGAACTTTTATAACTACAGACGAAAATCCATTTTTCGATAGTTTTGTTCGTTGGCAATTTTTACGTTTGCAAGAAGGAAATAAAATCAAGTACGGAAAACGGTACACCGTGTTTTCTCCTAAAGATAATCAACCGTGCATGGACCACGACAGATCCAAAGGGGAAGGTGTTGGTCCACAAGAGTATACGTTGATTAAAATGAAAGTTTTGGAACCTTATCCTGAAAAACTAAAGTTTGTACATTTCTCATAAAATTACTTTCATTTTAATAATATATCTAAATAAACATCAATTTATTAAAAGGTCATTGAAAAATAAACCAGTTTTCTTAGTGGCGGCTACACTAAGACCAGAAACAATGTATGGCCAGACTAATTGTTGGATTCATCCGGAATTAGAATATATTGCATTGGCAATAAAAGACGGAAGTATTTATATATGCAGTGAAAGAGCTTCCCGAAATATGTCGTATCAAGGATTTACCAAAAACAATGGTGTATATGAAACCATTTTTAAGCTCAAAGGACAAGTAAAAAACTTATTTAGACTATAAGTTATGCACAGATGTGTGTTGAGTATTATTATTAATTTTATTCTACTTTAGGACATTTTAGGGATCAAATTGAATGCACCGCTTGGCTTAAATAAAGTTATATATACGTTACCCATGCTATCGATCAAACCCGATAAAGGTACCGGAGTCGTAACAAGCGTCCCTTCAGATTCACCCGACGATTATGCTGCTTTGCAAGATTTAAAGAAAAAACCAGCATTCCGTGAGAAGTACAACATTACAGATGAAATGGTCCTTCCATTTGACCCGGTGAGTGAATTTGATGTTTAAAAAATCAATTTAATTTTGTTTTTATAACTTAAATTGTTTGTTATATTATTAAGTTGTTTGTTGTAAAATTTGGCAAAAACTTATTAAAGTTACAGTTTTAACTAGTTTAAATAAATGAATTGAAAAGCTCTCTGAAAAGTGAAATTTTTTTTTTAGATTTGATGCTTCACATGATAAGTTATTAATTTTCAATGTGTTTTTTTGAAGCTTTTTACAGGAATAATTTTATTTTATATTTAAGAATTTTTGATGCAAATTAATTAAACATATGTTTTATAAACAGACATTAACAACTCTATTTAATATTTATTGATTATTTATTTTTTGCAGATTCCTATAATTGATGTTCCCGATTTTGGGAACCTTAGTGCTGTAACTGTATATGATCAGTTGAAAATTCAAAGTCAGAACGACAAAGAAAAGTTACAACTGGCAAAAGAAAAAGTGTACTTAAAAGGATTTTACGACGGGGTATACAATTTCTTTATTTTTATAAAATCAATAACTATAGTATGAAAAAAACAATGTTGACGTTTTTAATTAATAATTTTAAAAGGTCTTAGTTGTTGGAGAGTTTAAAGGCCAAAAAGTGCAAGACGTGAAGAAAGCTTTGCAAAAGAAACTTATGGAATCTAAACAGGCTGTTGTTTATTATGAACCAGAGAAATCTATCATTTCTCGGTATATAAGTTACTTTAGTTGAGATATTTAATTGTTTTTATTTTCGTATAATTATTATATATAAATAAATATGTATTTGTTTGCGTAGATCTGGTGATGAATGTGTTATAGCATTGTGCGATCAGTGGTACTTGGATTACGGTGAATCTGAATGGAAAGCCGCTGCAGAATTAGCTTTAAGCAATCTAAATACTTACCACGATGAAGTGAGGAAAAACTTTACGGCCTGTCTAAACTGGTTACACGAATACGCCTGTTCTAGAACTTACGGTTTAGGTAATGTCGGCTTATATTTACATTGTAGTGTATATTATGTTTTTTTTTTTAATTCATAACAAAGATGCAATATTTGCTTATAGTAGTAATTGACGTTTTGTAGGCACAAAATTACCATGGGATGAAAATTGGCTAATAGAATCTCTATCGGATTCTACAATTTATATGGCATATTACACCGTTGCTCATTTGTTACAAGAAGGGACTTTTAAAGGAGAAAACGGAAACCGGTTGAATATTAAGTTAGTTGCGTTTTGGAAAATTACTCTTTAATTTAAGTACAACAGGAGGGAAATATGAACAATTTGCTTACTTACCTATTTGTAGACCTGAACAGATGACGCCAAAAGTTTGGGATTATATTTTCTTGGACAACACGACTTACCCTGAGGAATGTAAAATAAAAAAAGAACATCTAGATACGATGAAACGTGAATTTGAGTACTGGTATCCCGTTGACTTACGATGTTCGGGCAAGGATTTAATTCAAAACCATTTAACTTTTTTTATATACGTCCATTGTGCCATATGGTCGAAGCGACCCGACTTATGGCCAAAAAGCATTAGAGCCAATGGGCATTTATTATTAAATTCTGCCAAGGTAAATTATTATGCTTTTTGTGTGTGTATATATATATATATATTAAAAACCCTGTAATTTAATGTAATTTTGTTGTATTCTTATAATAATATTGTTGCACGTGATTATTATAGATGTCCAAATCTGATGGAAATTTCATGACTTTGGAAGACGCAGTAAAGAAATTTAGTGCAGACGGAATGAGACTTTGTCTGGCTGATGCTGGAGATTCTATCGAGGATGCTAATTTTGTTGAAAATATGGCCGACGCTGGTATAATTACTATTGAAGTTGTAACGAAAGAATTTCCCAAAACATAACGCTATAAAAGTTTATTTGATTTTAGGTATCTTAAGACTTTATACATTTATCGAATGGGTCAAAGATGTGTTGGCATCCATTTCGTCTCTTCGAGTTGGTCCATCAAATTCTTTTGCGGATACTCTGTTTACAAAGTAGGATATTGGAAATTTTTTAAATCGTAACAATAAAAATAAAATAAAAATTTCAGTGAAATCAATCTTAAAATTCAACAAACTGGCGATTTCTTTGAAAAGCTGTTATTCAAAGAAGCTCTGAGAACTGGATTTTTCGAATTCCAAGCAGCTCGAGATCGGTATCGTGAGCTATGCGGCAACCCGGAATTAGGTGGCGAATTCATGCACAAAGATTTAATTTTGCATTTTATCAGAGTACAAACTATTTTAATAGCACCGATTTGTCCGCATGTTGCCGAACATGTGTATCAACTTTTAGGAAATGTAATGTATTCAGTCGTTTTGTAAACTCGTGTGGAAAATAGTAAGATAGAGTTGTTTTATAGAAAGACAGTGTGGTCAATTCGAATTGGCCTCAAATCGATACGGTAGACCATCGACTTCTGGAAAGTGGAGAATACTTAATGGAGGCTGCTCATACGTTTAGACTTCAACAGAAAAACATGTTGAGTATAGGGTCAAAAAAGAATGTAGCAAAATCTACTACCAAAGAGGTAGAAAAACCGATAAAAGCCGTAGTCTGGGTCGCTAAAACTTTTCCTCCGTGGCAGACCACAGTCTTGGAGACAATGAAACAGCTTTATACGGTACGAGTTATTTTCATGTATTGATTATTTGAATTATATAAATTTATTATTATTCTTCTGCTCAAGAAGAAATTGTATTATTACTAGGAAATTTATATTTAATTTTTTTGAATTAGGAAAATAACAACGAATTGCCCAATAATAAAATAATATCCTCGGCGATGGGAACAAAAGAAACACTTAAAAAATATATGAAACGAGTGATGCCGTTTGCTCAAATGATAAGAGAAAAACTCGACAAGATCGGTCAAACGGCTTTCAACATTAAACTAGATTTTGATGAAAAACATGTTCTCGAGGTGAACAAAACATATTTGGAGAATACGTTAGATGTAAGTAGAATTTTTTATTTTTGTGTTATAGACCATTTAATTTTAAATTATATTTTTTCAGCTGGAAAATATAGATGTTAAATATTCCGACCATAAAGATGCACCTGAAAATATTCGTAACGAATGTTGTCCTGGTCAGCCTCACATAACTTTTCTGCCTCTCCCCGAATCGTTACTTTTAATCGTGACCAACCCGCAGCCACAAAAACCATACTTCCAAAGAGAACTTCCGGTGTATGATAACGATACTGTTGCTAAACTAATTAAAAGATTGAAAAAACTCGATCAAAAACTGAGTAAGGGTTTAATTTGTTTAAAAATATATTTAAAACGATGTGATAATTTATATGTATGTATTTTTTAATTAGCGTCCAGCAAGATTCAATTGTGGCGGTACAAAGATCCCGTCATGGGGCCAAGGTTGATCCCGAATTATTTACAGCCTACCGAACACAGCGATGTGTTGACTTTAGAGACTAAAATAAATATTGACGTAAAAAATAAAGTCATCGAGTACAACACCGATGATAAACAAAAATATCTATTGGGTAATGCCATTATTTATATGGTTCAACAATAATACAATTTACGATCTTGCACAATGGGTTGTTATAAAATTTGAACTAAATTATTTATTCTATAGGATACAATTGTTGTAATTTATCTTTTAAAGAATCTGATGTATACTACTGGAAAAAATTAATAAAATGATTCAAATGTACAATCGGAGTTTATTATATATTTTTACATTAAGCTATAAAAAATTGTATATATATATAAGTATAAGTATTTTAGCGATTAAGTCGTATGGGCTTGCTTTTAAATTAACCACCGTGACAACAATACCAGTAATTAATTTTTATTGCAAAATAGTAATCATTAAAAGAAACAAATTTTTATATATTGTTTAATAACAAAAGAAACAATTAAGTTTGAATATTTCAATAGTTTTATTCATAAATAAAATTGTTTAAGTAATATTTTATTGATATTTCTTTGACTTATTTGCACTAAATATAAAGTATATGAATACAAAAAAAAAAAGATGCAAATAATAAATATCTATAAAAAAATTACATCATCTGTAAAGACAACAGGGTTTTTTTTTAGTTTATGTCGGTAACTTGTTTAGGAATATACTTACACAGAACACCACACGGATAGTTATAAACCATATTTTTTCTATTTCTTTATTACTTTTTTACCTATGATTGTATAAAGAAAAAAAAAAATGTGTTGGAAATAGTTAAATATAAAACAAAAATAACAATAACTTATTAATACAAATAAATTAAGAGCTTTGATTGTGTTAACAATTGTAATGTCACAGTGTTCACTGTAAATTAAAAATAAAATAAAATGACTATTAATTTATACAGTTTAGTCTTTTGAATGTTCGTAATTTATAATACATCGGAAAGACAGAAGAGGTGTTGGTTTAGTATAATTCACGTTTCAACAACATAGTGTGCGTAAGACAATAATAGTAGTAATAATAAAAATAATAATAAAACTAAAAAAACACAATAAAAAGAAGTTGTGAAAAAAAACAGTTACAAAATATAAAACTATCACATTCAATTTAAATTTAATGATAAAAAGACCATATAATTTATGACATAATCATATCGGTCGTCGCAATATTATTTTTTCTAAAAAAAATTTAAAATAATAATTATTATAATAAATATTGTTTCAACAAATAATCAAATGTATTATAATAATAAAATATATATAAATAATAGCGTATCTTTGACAGTAGAAAACTATTGTAAGCAAGCTTGGACTTTTTCTATCCATTCTTGTGCAGTCGTCATATCGCTAGCGCAAAAGTTGTATGTTCTTCTATTTGTACGCAGCTTTAGAACAAAACCATAAATAATAGTTAGTAATAATATAATACAACTAGGTAAAAAAAAAAGACTTGACGAATGGTCTAACATAAACCTCAATTCCTCTTGCTGGTACCGTTTGATTTGCCCCTTTAACTCATATTGCCCTTGGTTCCATAATCAGGATATTCCCAGAAATGTTATATCCTCCTTCTCTCATGTCAGACTTGGCCATAATCTCTTATCGTCCCACGCTTTTCACGTATCACTAAATTCTGTTCCACGTTGTCCTCTTCATGAAGATAAAGCTATTTACGATTTCTCTTAAATCCTCATAACCTGCCTGGCATTGTCTACTCATTTAATTTCCTCTCTTATCTAAACATTCAGCCCCTCTTTACTGTTAACATATAGAACGATCGCTCCATTCTTGCCATTTTTTTCAATTCTTTCTTTCCTGAAGAGCTGCGGCCTTCCAATTATAATTGTTTTAATCTCTTTTATTACTATCAATTTTCTTTTTGTTTTACCTTTCAATTTCTATCTTGTAATTCTATTTAGTTTTAAAGATTAACATTATAATTTAATAATGTAACTTTATAGTTCACCTGTTTTCATTATAATAGTTGGGCTAAATATTATATAATAAAGGCTATATATATATATAAAAGCTAAAAACGTTTAATCAAAATAACTCACATCAAAGAATGACTTATCGTCGGTTTTTTTCGGTGCTCCCGGTGAAGGATTTGCTTGAGACACTGACATCACTTCGGCAAGATCTAAAAATGTAATAATAATTGTGAATACTGTAAATTCTATACATATATCATTAATACAAGTATTATACTGTAATTTGTGTTATTGGTTATTATTACCGATGTATCCTTTGCAATGAGAATCATCCATCGAGTCATAGTACCTGAGCTGATGTTTTATTGAATCTAATACAAACCAACGCTGCTTCCACGCTTTCAAAAGGGCGCCGCGTTTATACAAGTAGCCTTCATGGGTTCTATTCTCAGCTACATTCGACGAAAACTGTTCGTAGTACTGCTGATGAATGCCGTTCATGTCTAAAACAAATACATCGTTTAGTAACACAGTATCAGTTATATTATATGCTCTGCCCAAGCAAGTACAAAAACACAGTGAAAGACTATTATTTACTTGAGTTCACCGAAGCAGTTTCACCACAGTTCCTATTTGCGTTTTGATTCGTTAACGTCCTGTCAGATACCGCCTTATACTTAGTACAGCCCTTCGGAACATTTTCTGAACATTTTTCATGGCAACTGTACCCGCAGTCACAGCATCGCATACCAGTCTAAAATTATATTACAATATTGTTTTATCTAATAACAAAATATTTGTTTTCTTACATTTGCTAGACTTTATTGACCTACCAAACAAAAAAGTATACAAGACATTTTTAGACTTAAAATATACTGGTGCACTAGCTATTACTATCCAACAATAAAAAAAAAAGGAATAAGATACAAATTTTAACTAAAAATGATTTACCTTTACCGGACCCCAAAGAAGACTAGAACAAAAATCACAGTAAGTCGGAGTAGTAAAATTATACTTCTCAAAACGATGAGGGTGCGAATGAGGCATGTCAGCATTTGACGAAGTCGCATTGTTCACTTTGCCTCGCATGAGAATTTCCAGTGTTGAACGTTTATGCAACAATCGTCCATGAGACCTAACCAGTTGTGTGCTAAATGAAGCATGTCGCTATAAAAATGATAAAAAACTTAATTTATATAAAAATTAAAAAAAAAATTTAAACAACCATTTACCTTTAAAGAATCTGTTTTGGGAAGATCCAATTTGTCCCAAAGCACTTTCCACTTTTGAGGCAGAAGTCCGAGTTCTGTTTCTAATTTATGAATGTCATCTAATAAATATTTAAAAGCATCTGGGGTGTATCTCTCGACAATATGATATCTAATAAAATATCATAAAACAAACAACATGACATGAGCAGTTTGCACTAACATCATCCTTTTAACTTTGTTAATGCGTAACTTACCCGGTTGTAATAACTTTACGCAAAGTTTCCCGAGATATACCGTCCGCAGCTTCGGCTTCTTCTTCCTGCTGCATATCCATTTGAATTATTTCTAGATCGTAACTCGGACCGTGTGCCAATTCTTCCTTTAAATAATATTGCCATACATTTAAATTGGGCAACGACGATTGTGGTCTGAGTACCTGAAATTTTTTTAGTGTAATTTGTATTCATATTGTTATGTGTAGTTATAATGAATAGGTAGGTCAATATTAGTACACATACTGGTTGTTCGGTATTTGGCATATACATAAAGTTATAGAATATCGATGTGCGGGCATTGTGTTTTTCAATGTAATCGAATATAGATTGTCCCAAGTTTGGAACGAAATGAGATGACATGTTTGTACCGGCCAAACGACCACCTGAAAGTGTTTTTACAAATAGAGTAAGTATATCAATTGGTTGTAGTATTAACTTCTAAAAAATATACTAATAATTTATATATTTATTACAATACAGGCACAAGTGCTCAAAAACAATAATATATTCATTATACATGCATAAAGTTAAACTAAGACTACTTGAAATAAAAAAAAAAGGTCCTCTTTAGCAGTATACATAAAATAAAAAATAGGTGAATTGGTCGTGAAGAAACCCTTAAGTTCAACTACGTTAGCAGAGATGAAGAATCAATTGCAACAGATAAAAAGTTTAGGAACAAGTGTAGAATTATCTCACGGTGATAATCAGAGAGAATTGGAAGCTGCAGAAGATTTTGAACTGGAGAATTAACATCATTAATAATGATTTAAATTTGAAATCATTTTACCTGGATACACAATATCATCGTCTGATCCGGTGTCCACATTTTTATGATGAGACGTAAGAGACCCACGTTTGTCTTCCACAGCCGCTACTCCACACTCGACTCGTTCGAGCTCGCAATCCAACAAAAAAGTGCGGAAACGACACGACACAGAGTGGTAAGCCAAAAATCGCAAATAATAATCATTAAATTCGAACGATAATGGAAATTGACTGTGTATTTGGTGGACAATATCGAGAAACTGGAGGAATGTAGGTGCAAAACCGGAAGCTTGAGACGCAGTAGCTAAATTACTCCGGTGGCTGAAACGGTGGCCAAATGCTAACCATTCTTTTTCAATAAGTATGCGGAATCCTTCAATTGTACGATAATATGGATCCATGCATAACTGCGCTATTGACGACAGTTGACACGTTATATCCCAACCTTCTTCCAAACACAACATTACTGAAGAACCTTGCACATCAATCAGATCTACGATGGCTCCAGATAATTGCATAATATTTCGCAACTGTTGTAGCCAATCGGAGCTTTCAATCATTCTATAAGAAATTAAAAAAAAAATTATCATTACTATAAGTACACAATACTGGCAGAAGTAAACGCTTAATGTTTTATAAAAAAATAATTAAAATACAAACTTGTAAAATGAATGTTCTGGTTCATTGCTAGCAGAACTTGGCATACAGGCTCGCATTAATTTTTTAAATGATGTTTTACTATGCCTAATATCAGCGTATTCAACAGGAATAAAATCAATTTTCATAATAGAGTCACCTTTCATGCCCTAAAAAAAAAATAAAAAACAGATAATTAAAAATACAAATGATAAAACTGCAGTTTTTATCACACAGTCACCGATACAACTTTCAGCCAAAGACAAATGTTTTTCAGAGCGAGCAACAAACTAAATGAGTATAACTTAAAACGTTACCTTCATCTGAGTTTTGTCACCAAGTATATACAAAGCGGCTCTATGAAACTCGGGTGTACTGTCGCAGTTGGATTCTTGATCTGCGATAGACATGTCTTGACCTTGGAACATATTTGTGTACGAATTATTTTTCGACAAACCTGTATTACGATCTTTTACTGAACCCCAGCGTCCAAATGCTTTGTTGTTGCCACTAGATCTGTTTTGTCCTCTGAATAATGCATATGGCAATTACAAATCATTTATTTAGTTTTCAATGTTAAAAAAAAACAATTATTCAAATTTAAGTAAAAAAATAACTACAGTAAAATATCTCACCTAGATGATTTAGACAAGTGTTTGGATCCTCGTGGGTTATCCAGCGATAACATATCTTCATCGGCACCCAACAAAAAAGAATTCAAGCTGAGGCTGCTATCGGATAATCCCCAGGTAGCTCCGCTGTGTCGAAGATTTGACAAAGGGGTCGAAGCAACAATAGCTGACAAATAACGCTCTTGCTCTATAGATGAACTGGTTTCCGAGTTTAGAGCACCTAAAAACCAATAATATAGTTTGTTTTATTGTGAAATAATGAATTTGTATCGTGTTAACAATAATGATTGAAATATACCTGAAGACGAAGGATGTGTAGATTTAAACATCCCTATGAGATTTTTACCGTGATACCCTGCTCCACGTAATAATAGTGCCGATGTATGTTGATGACGCCATGTTATTATAGGAACCCTACTGTGACGATAATTTCGATAAAATCTACGAATGCTGTCATCTGAAATTAACGACGGAACAACCCAAAGAGCTGGATAACTGTACAAAAAAAAAAAAAAAAATTACAGTTATTATAATAATTTTTTTATTATGTTAAAAACATGTAATATAGAATATACCTTCGACACATCAGGTATGCAGAATTGAGTGTAGTTATTTTAAACGGTTCTTTGTTCTGATTCTTTTGACTAATACTAGTTGAACTGGTATTTTTTGGAGCAAGACCGAGTCGAATCCAATCTCTAACATAACTTCTTTCCGATACCCGCTCTAATGTTTTGGGATCAGAAACATTTGATACAGGACTTGGAGTACTAAGCACGTTCATATCAAATTCATTAACTGTAAAATATATAACATTATCATAATCATATTATGAAATACAAAAAACATGAATATATTAAAGGTGGGACTTACCAGAAATGTCATCAGGGTTGTTAAAAGGTGGAAGTGTCATGCGACCCGGGGTGGTCATGTATTTGTTAGTTTTATTAATCGAGCTATTCGATAAGTTAGGTAATACATATTTGTGTCGTTTTGATGAACTCTTCTGTTTGAATCCTGCTTTACGTGCCGTTTTCATTAAGGTTTTTTTCGCAAAGCCTCTGTTTCAATGATAAGTAATCAATCGTTTTTAACAGTAAGTAATATTAAATCTATGTATAGAAACAACATGCACACAAGCTTTTTTTAGGTAGTACAGTTTTGATATTTACCTAAGTGTTGCATTTTTTTCTTTATCATTTGTCATAGGCATTTCATATATCGGAACTTGGCCGGTGAATGCAAAATGATTAAAAACATTGGGCGGATGACGCACTTTATGTATAAACTTTCGAAAACATTCAATATCTTCAGCGTTGACTTCTTCATCAAAAGCAACTTTAATTAACTTTGGGAAAAAAATTATACAGGTAAAATTAATTTAATAGAGAAAAATATATTTTTTACCGAAATAAATGATCATGTTTTATACCTGGAATGTACACGATCGGAACTGATGACCTTCTTGTAACCATTGATCTAGATGCGCTAAGTACTGTACAGTGATACGCTTTTCTTTAGTCAACGATGTCACAGGAAATGCTCTTACTACAATTTGTTCACATGCAAAAGGATCCAATGGCGTTCCTTTGAAAACTATTCGATAGTTTGTGATGAAAATAGCCCCTTCGGCTGGTAAAAGAGGAGGACCACCAACTAATCCACCTAAACCTTCTTCGCGGCCATCTGGCAGCAAATACACTCTTAAACCGTCCATTAACGGCTCTTCTCCTGCTAGCATGTTTGGTGTTAATATTTTTGGCTACAATAAAAAAATACCACATAATATAATTAAACATTTAGTAATTAATGATCTTTATAGAAAAAATTATAATAATCTTTACACATGAGGAAACCTATACACCTGTCTATACTACTAATAATATTAACTACTAATGCATACAAATGTTTTTTAGACAAAATATGATGACTTTGTTTTTTTTTAGGACATTTGCTGACATTTTGGGCTTACTTTTTGTATAGGAGGCAAACGTTTCGATTCTCTATAAACACCATCTAATGTTTCAATATGTATATGTACTACACCGGGGATCATTTGGTGCAATGAACGAATGTGTTCTTCGCTGACTTCACCTTCAGTACAAACTTTATCTACAAAGCGACTGACCATTTTTATTACTTTGTTACCAATTTCATTTGGTTCGGGTTCGGCAAAACCACTTTCAACGTCAGACTCGCAAACACTCCCTGATCTATCAACAGCACTAAAAAAATATATATATATATGATGATGAACTTAGTAAAAATAATTATATAACGATTGAATAATATAAGTACCTATTTGTTATACTATTAGATGTTCTTTCATCATCAATAGTTTTGTTAGTCGATTGGTGGTGGTTAGATGAATTTTTTATATTAGTACCTCCAGCATCTAATGGGACGAGCAGGTATACCATTCGATTGGCGTAGTGAATAGCTTGACTGTACAATGTTGATTCTTCGCTTGATATATATTCTTTAAGTTTATCTAAACAAAATAAAATTGTTATATCAGTAATATTTAATTAAGTTTGGTAAGCTTTATTAAACTTTTTGAGTTAAATTAAATTTCTGTTTAACTACTAGTTTTTGCTAACAAATAAATATAAAATTATAAATGTTTTACACAAATTTTAATTCAACAAAATAATATTTATGGTTTACCGGAATTATTCGAGGGACGTAGTCTCATTTGTTCAGCTGCAATTTCTAAAGCTGATGATTCTTGCGACCTACTAAATCTATCATTCAATAGAGTGTCTTTGTTCTAGAATTCAAGGAGAAAATATATATATTATTTTAAAAATTCTATTGTTTAAAATATTGTAAATTAAATACATAATTATCTCGAGAATTAGTATGATTTCCTGATGAAGAGCGTTTTTGATTTGAAAGGTTGTTATCTGAATATAAAGATTTTATATCTCGCTGAACATCTAGGTAATATGCAGATTCCCAAAACATTTGGTTTTTCCATACAGCGTGATCCTTGAAATTAAACAAAAATGTTAAGATGTCTAGTAAAATAATGGCAAAATATTATTATATTTATTACTTGAATGCAAGTGTACGCAAACTGTATTACACCAGTACACAATTTACGACAAAATGCTGTGGCCAAAGGTAAGAGAGCAGCTGCTACTCCAAATTCATCCATTGCTGAACCATCCTAAAATATATATTATGATTGGTTTTTGTAAATTAATTGAGAAACTGTATTTTATTAATATAGATACATTTCAATATGGTCATTTTTTGATTCTTTTAATATGCTCTGTTACACACTTTTTTCGTGTCTAGATACATTTAAATTCATATATAATAATGAATCAAAATAATTTAGTTTCAATTTTAAGTAGTATTTCTAAGCATAATTACTTACTTGTAAAGCACAATTCATTAATCGCACAACTAGATCAAATTGTTGATGTTCAAGCATGGCCTTGTTACCTTGAACATGTTGTGAAAGTTCTGTACACAATGCTAATCTTGCTGCTCGACATTTCAAAGCTCTTAACACAGCAGGAAAAGTTTTGCGAGCGTCCGATATTTTATTTTCAAAAATACAATTCACACAGTTGCGCAACACCTAATGTTTAAAGACAAAGTTAATCACATGTTTTATAATTGTAAATAGAAAAAATGAATGTACCTCTAATCTTCTGGCAGAGTTACTGACAGTAGTCCTTAAATCATTTGAATTTGTTATTGGAGGTCCCATGGGTACAATACGTGGCGGCATTGGTTTTATCGATGACAGCCTGAAATATTTTACAAATTAAACTAACTAATCGTTCATTTTTAAGAGGATCTGTAAAATAAATACTTACTTAGAGTTTAAACTATTTTTCGCTAAGCCATCATTAATGATAACTTGAACACGAGTGGTATCGATTTTCGGAAAAGGAGGTTGATGAATCCGAGTGAATGCTCCTTCAGGAGGTTTTAAAATTTTTTGAACATATGGTTGTGGATTAGGATTTTCATTTAAGTACAAAGCTTGAGCTAATTCCTACATAAAAAGTTGTTTGATACAAAATTAAATGAGTTTAATATGTAGATAATTAACAATAAAATCTAACCAAGTCGAGAGAAAAAAATCTAAAACAGAAATTCAAAGGTGAAATACCAATTCGCTATACCAAAGGTTGGAGCCAGTGAAAATGTTCAGAAAAAAATCTGAAAACTCTTAAGAGCAAGAGGCAGTAGATTTGATCCCAGGACCCTGTCATTCACATTATATACAAATAAATAATTCTCAATTAATTACTATTAGGATTAATAAATTCTATTTTATCATTGTTTTTTCTGCCAAATCTAATTTTGCTAGATGATTTTTTTTTTTGGGAGGGGGGGGTTTTAGAGTACTACTTCAATATTTTAATTTAAGGATTGAAAACTTTATCAAATTGAGTTAGGAACAAAACATTGTTTATTTTATTCCAATGTATTTTCGGTAATGTTTTCAATTCTTGATTTTGATAAAACATAACTTTAAAAATCTTTGAAGAAGAATCAAATTAAAATTCCGAAGTCTAAAATATGGCATATACATAATGTATGTTAAATTTATTTAAGTAAATAATTTTTTTTAACATACTTGAATGTGAGTTAAAATTAAACGACCATCATCTAAATTTTCACTTCTAATTAGTTCGTTCATGTTACAATATAATTCGTCCCACTGATCACAAGATCGCCAAGCTGGTCCTCGTTCGGAAACAAAACTGTTGAAAAACATGCAGTCTAACACTCTAGTAGTAAATTCATCGTCCATGAGGCATCTTTCTCCTAAAAACGCTGCCTGCAAAAATTAATAATTAATATTTTTCAGTTTAATTTGTTGACTATTCATAACCCGGTATATGTACAAAAATATAGTTTACTTTGTGAAAAGTGATGACAGGTTTTGGATGAATCCTAATTATTGTCAAACAAGAACGATAACCCTGAAGAAGTTGAGCAAATGTTCTCATGAAAACTGCTCGTACTTCTTTATCGATGAGTGTAGGCGGTGGTGGTTGAACAGTATTAGAATTTGGAGGGAACGCATGATCAGCACAGCATAACTCTGGTTGTAACACAAGACTTAAACAATCCTGAGTTTGTGTTAGTAGTGGTTCAGGAAGAAGTGGAAGGCTTATGCTGTCCGGTACGAGAATACTACCGCCATCCAAGTCGGCAACTATTACATCCATCTATAGAAAACACAAGCCAGGATTTAATTATTACTGAAAATCTGATGTATTAAAATGAATTCTAAGAATTACTTGTTCCGATATATCCATTTTTAAAGATGCATGAACTCCCATTAAAAATGGAGTTGGTGTCGATAAGACTTCGACCAATCCAGCAGGTAACAATGGAATATAAACGTGGCTGTACTTAAATGGATACATCAATGCTGCAAGAGCAGCACAACCTTCAGTAAGTCTAGTATAACTTCTAGAAGTCAATAAAACTTTATGTTCGGTCATAACAGCACAAAATAACACAACAACATTATGAATACCTAAAAAAAACATTGAAAATTTAAATTTACTTATTATATTAAGCTTATAATTATTGTAGAAATATCATGAGTATATAATTTCAAATTACCCAGTTCTTGGAAGAGCAGGTAAACTGCACTTTTGGTAACGGGTAAGGTAGGAGACAACGGAGGTTGTAAAGCTTGTCTATCTCCGGCGCCTATACTAAAACGTACTTGTGGTCCTCCGGGCTTAGGAACTTGTATACAACCCAACATGTTTCCAACTAAATTTTCTATTGGAGTATCTACGTTGTCTACATAGACTGTGTATATTATGCCTAAGCAGTTCTGCAAGAGCAATAATAAATTAATAGTGTGAAAACACCTATTTTTCTTCTTTAACCTATTTATGATACAATGTAGTAAATGGTACCTTAGTCGAAAAAATCATTTTGTTCTTTAAAAAATGTTCTAAAGTTATACTCAAATGAATAACAATTAATAAAAATTTAAGTTTACAACCTAGTTACAAAAATCATAGTTTTACACAAAGTTAACTAGAAAAATCTGGAAAAAAAAAGAAAATCATTTTGACTTATGTATTTTTTTCTAACATTATTGTTTAAGACTTAGGGTACCTTTTCCTCCATCACATTATATATATTCATAAAAATGAATTGAAAATATTATGAAACTAATGATATTACTCTAAATGTTTCTATGTAATCCAGTCTTGATACTAAAACCAAACATTTAGGAGCATACATAATGCTGTGATGTTGTCTTTGATTTGATAGATTGTTTCTTACGAGGGCTATATTTTCCACTACACCATCTTCTTCCTAAACATCAAAGAAATATAATTAGTGTGATTTGCTAACAAAGAGTATGCATTTAACAATATACATTTTGACACTTCATTTTGGTTCTAAAAATTGATGAAATTTGGTTTATATCATTTAAAGTATATTTATAGCATAATAATATATTTTTTTTTTAATTCTAATTTCTTTCTCTTTTAATGATAAAAGTTTAAATAATATCTCCGTTAAACATGGTAAAAAATTGACTTGCCTCATCAACAGGTTTACTGGGCGTAATTGATACAGTTTCATTAAAACACAAACAGGCACAATAATGCCGTTCAGCTTCAACATCAGTAAGAACAAAAACAAAAAATCTAGGTTCTTGCCTTTCTGACGATAAAGACCATCCTTGTGGTTGACAGAACTACAAAATAACAATACATATAAACTTGAATAATTTATTAAATAATTGTATTTTTCATAAAAATAAAAAAAAATTGTGAATAGTTATAATTAGGTTTTAATATAACATTGTTGTTATTGTAAAAATAAAAACAATGGTCAATGACACATCTTATCATAAGAAAATATCTCATTTTTGGAGTTATCACTATTTGACCTGTGACCACAGATTTTTATTAGTGTTAATATTTTTTATTAAAATATACTAGACATCCTAGGTCAAAACTATGAATAAAAATGTATTGACCTAATGGTATAAAATTATACATGCAACAATCCAATTAAAACCTCATACTGTAGGTCATTAAAAAAAAATTATAGAAAACATAATTTTGTACTTGCGCGTTTTCAAAAATAAATAATATAGCTTGTAAAATTAAAAATGTACCCATTCAATTCCATCAATAAATGGCGTATCTTTCCAGTCCTTTTCTGGAAACCGTTGAACAATAATTCCTTTGCTCTTTCCACCCCCTGAAATCAAATAAATGTTATTAGAAACGACATTATTATAGACTTAATTTCAGCAATTAGTAATATTAGTAATATCTAGTTTTACATAGGTTTCCAATTATATAGTATGATATATATACGTAAAAATTATTTAAACGGTATTGAACAAGATAGGCAAATAATTTTGACTTACGTTCTTTTTCATGATCGTATCCAACGACCACAAAATAATCGGCTAGTCGAGACATTTCAGTCAGTTTATATAAATATATTATTTACACGTCGAAGGCCGAAAGATAATTATTTTTATATTGGTCACATAGTTGGAGTAAAAATATATTTTTATATTTACTAATTATTTATGTAGATAAAAAAAAAATTAATAAAACTTTTTCTTCTTTTAAATAATGGTTTTTTTTTTTTTTTTTACACAAAGTTAAATAACAAAATATGATACGCGTTAACTCGTAGTGGGAAGTGGAAACTCCCAGATAAGATAAAGATGGCGTATCGACTGCAATGATGTTGCGAGCCACGAGCGACCTAGCGGACAAGTCCAATAACTTCTATCAACGTAGGTTCATTATCAGAATCCGAGTAGTAATAACAAAATATAATAATAATATAATATTGTAGTTCAGAAGAGAAGTGTAATCGCGAAAATTTTATTCTCCGTCAGTATCTGCGGGTGACCTAAATATATTTTTCGAAAATTTCAACTTCCCGCGAGTGAACAATTGTCAGGATGGACGTGGACAATGACCCGCTGGATCAGAACCTACTGCGTCAATTCAACTGTCTATGCACAACAGATAAAGAAAACCTGGTTAAAGGTCTGCGAGAACTAATTGGCGACCAGCTCACAGAATCCGCGGCCGTTTTTTTCTTAGAGATGAACGATTGGTAATTTATAATTGCAGTCAGTCGGACGGTCGAAAAAACTCAACGAAATACATTCATTTAACTGACCCTTTTTGTTAAGTTTTTTTTTTTTATCAAAAAGTAGTTTCGGGGCGATTTTGAGTTAAAAAAAAACTAAAATAGAAGGTACCTTTTACTGGAACTATCTCGTTTAACAGTTTAAACACTTTAAGCACAATGTGTATTAATGCTAATGTAATGCCAACTGCCGAATAGTCGAGGACGACTGGCGTAGCTTCGTTACGGTCAAAATAGACTGTTGAACTACGTTTAATGACAACATCTTTGTGCAGTTACACAATTTTGTTTTAGATCATATTGATATGAGTTCATATTTTGTTTCTATCTCCTTTTAATTTCATATAGCTCACAATGCTAAGTATTGACTTATCAATATGGTATTAAAAATGCTGGCCCGTAAAGTTTGCATTGTAATTATAAAGTATTAAGTCTTTAATAAGTAAAATGAAACATTTTTTTTTTTAACACATATCCAGCACTACATAAGAATAATCGTTATATTTTTCTATTAGGAATATGCATAGAGCTGTTGGCACGTATTTTGATGTCAATTCTGAAAATGCTCTCCCTTCCATGTCATTAGTCAGAGATGAAAACAGCGAAAATGTCTTACAACTGCCACCAAATCTTCGGTATTATGTCTCATTTTTGTTATTCAATATCTTCTAGTTATTTTGACAACACATTAGCCAAATTTTATTTGTGTACTATGACTTCAATTACAGATTTACCAAATGTTGGGAAGTGAAAAACAATGGCCGTAATCCGTGGCCTCCTGGTTGCACTCTTCAATTTAATGGTGGAGATTTTATGTCTCTTTATACATCACTACCAACTACAACACTTGAACCTGGTGGCACCATGACGCTAAGTACTGATTTTGTGACACCAACTAAACCGGGATCATATCAATCTAAGTGGCGTATGATGTTACCTACAGGAACTTATTTTGGAGGTAATCTAACTATTACTTAATAATAATAATCAAGCAATTCCGGCAGGGTATGACCCAGTCAACCACATTGACAGAGTTGATCCCTGCGAGTATTTTTAACATCGGTACATTAGACTCGCAATTTTAAGTAATATTGTGCAATCTATTGTTCCTTACATTTCAAAATATATTTTTGTGAGGAAATAGAAAAATAGTTTATTTGAATTGGAATTGAAATGTATTAGAATGTATGTATAAATATTATTTGTTACAGATACAATTTGGACGTTAGTTCAAGTAGAAGACAATGATTCGTTCCAAAATGAATTATCTAGACAACTTGTTGAAAGCATTAATTTAGGTTCTCCAACACAAAATCCACATAATACACCAAATCCATTCTCAACAACTCAACAAAATCAACTGACTGACCAAGTAAGTAATTTTTCGGTTTCAGTTTTAAAAATCTATTGAGGCCTGTTACCACAACACACATGCTTATATCTATCCCTATCCTAGACTATTGTTTCTCTGTCTTGTATTCCAATTTCCATTAGATCCTTCTTGACTTAGTCTGTCCACCTTTGTTTTGGTCTTCTCGGTTATCATTTACATTGGGTTTTCATTTTAAAACTAGATTCATTGTTCCATTAGATCTCTATATATCGACGCCCCGTACGAAAAGTAGCACCGTTCGTGAGTTCTTACAAAAACTAGCACCGTTCACAGATTCTTACGAAGACTAGCATCGTTGGGCTATTGTTCCCATTGTTGCAAACGGTGTTAGTTTTCGTAAAAAGCCTCGAACGGTGTTAGTTTTTGCTAGAACGCTACTTTTCGTACGGGGCGTCGATATGACTAGCCCATATATTATCTCTACTATAGAGACTATATATTATCTCATAGCTTATACACTGGAGGTATCTAGTTCCTACAATTAAACCGCATTTATAGTAATCTATGTAAGTAATTCTAAGACTTTGAAGAACGTGTTCTCCTCTTTTCTGTCAGTTGAAATTTTATATGCATTATTTATTTAGTACAATTATCGAAATACTGAGACAGTACCATTTACCAAATATGAACCATCCTTGTGCAGATTTACATACGTGTTGCAGATTTGACTACGATAGGATAATAAATAGTTTTTAGACAGTTAATATTGGACCAATTACTTCAAATTATATAAATTATTAATTTTTTTCTTAATTATTTTAGGAAAGTGACCAGACTCAAACAACTATGGATAGTGATGTATTGTGATTATTAAATAAATTGGTTATTTGGGATTCGCACTTGTTCTATGTTGTTGGATTTGTCATTTTTAACTTTGTTACAAACATCATTACATTCATAAACATTAGTTTTAACTAAACCTTTAAATACTTAGCTGTAGCTTTAGGTTACCTTTAATTAATCTGTGTAAAGTTTTTATATAAAGTTTAGAAATTATAAGATCTATTAAAATAAAATATGTTTTTTCTCAAAAATAATTTTGCCGCAGTTTGGGTCTAATATGCGACAAAAATCAGGTGTTTGTTGAATCATTTGTACAGTTTATATTTTATTGTTTTATCTATATTATATAATATTAATTTAGACTTTTTTGATGACCAAACTTATTTTGTTATTTTAGAAATTAAATTCTAATGTTTGTGTATGGGGTCTTACTTTAATACAAGCTTAGCAAGATAAAAGTTACTTACATTTTCTTTTAATAATCTAACTAAAAACATCCAAATAAATATAAGATTTGGAATTATTTATATATTAAGAATAATAGCGCCATAGTTCGTTGCTCAATGCTTTTAATAATATATTTTTATGTTGAAAGCTATGGATATATCAACAATTATAACTATAAACAATTCTTTGTAAAACTTACAATGATAGCTATATGTTTGTTTTACATTAATATAATATAATAATATATGTACAAATTTATTTTATATAAAACAAAATAATTTGTAAACAATTACTTTTAAAATTATAATAAATTTTCATATACAACATATCCATACGGACTCAAAAACTTTTATTTAACAATACCCCAAACGATATTTTTGAATACGTACAAAACCATTTAACCGACACTCATAGGAAACACATAATTCATTCTAGATACTTCCCATTAAAAATTAAAACAAATTATTATCACAAAACTATCATCCAAATTGAAAACCTTCAACAATTCCAAATAACAGAAATAATTCCACACTTCACACCACATCTAGTTCTCCACAACATATGTACACACTATGTTACCCCACAAACATAAGTGACATTAACTACCATCCATGTACATAAATAAACAAAATTTACACACTACACAAAAAACTTCCACATCTCCCACTAACTAACTAACCCTCTACTCACTCCCACAACAGGTTACCACAGCTTCCGCCACACATCATCACAATCAACAAATTCCCCCTACCTTATTTCTACGTCTCCCACCCCCATACCCGTTCTTCATCTGCATTCCCTTCCGATGTACATTACGTCACACCTTAAACCTGTACCCGCCCCCACAATGTTGGAATCTACAACATTAACATACCCATTGGGTAAACAATAAACCACCTAAATCCTCCCATCACCAAACACTTAAACATTAAATAATTCTGCAACTAATTAATAAATTTTCCTTAATAACTTTTAATCATCCTACTACCCCAATTACCCCCAAATTAATCCATTCATACTCCAACCCCAAAACATGAACCACACAATTAAAACCCTTAAATACATTCAATACCCACAATTAAATTTGAATTTCAAAAATCTAAACTTAACATTTAAACCCCTATATACTTCAAACAACCCACAATAAATCCAAACATAAATTTAACCTCTTATTACACATATTAATTTTAAATACAACAAATCAAAACATTCACCACCCTACAATCCATAACAAAAATTAAACACAATCCAAAAAACTTACCACTTAGTTTTTAAATAATCCACCAAGTTAAAACCAATCTAGACATATTAGATCACAATACTTAACACCCCCCCAACCCAACACATTATAGGCCCATATACACTAAAACACATAGCATGTTACCTACATTTAGAAACACAACTACCCCTAACAATCAAATCACCCCTAGCCATTTTTCAAGGGGGACACAAATTAACTTAACAGTTTATACATAATTTGATTATTTCAACCAACCACATTAGGTACCCTAAAGGCGTCTTTACATTTAAAAACTAATATGATGTTAACATTACCCCTAAAAAAAAACAAACACAACCTATACCCCTTCCCAAGATCCAAATAAAGCCCCCCTATTACCTCCTAAAACCCCACCAACATCCCAATTCAACCTTTTTCAATATCCATTGTAAAACCCTATACCATAATAACTCAACACAACAACCCAAAAAATCACAACCCCGCTTACACTAATCCAAAAATCCCAAACAAAATGTTTGGATAATTAAATCCCAAAAAAAAGCATACCTCTAAAGTGTGTATTTTTTAACCTTAGATAAATCTATACTAATTATCAACTTATATCTTCTCGCCCAACCACATTATATATAAAAAACCACATCACCCAAACTAAGACAATAGTTAAAATAAATAATATCATTTTTTATAAGATGTAAATAATCCAATAGTCAACTTATCTTTATTTTTCTTTATATCTCCTACTACCTTTCCCAAATTAACACACCCAAAAAAACCCATTTCACAACCCCCATAAAACAATACCATAACTTACCATAAAACTAAAACAAAATTAAATTACTAACCCCTACCTTCATCTAAAAAATAATATTAACATACCACCTTAAACCCTACTAAAAAATAATGTTAATTTGTAAACTCAACAAACAATACTTTAAATCTATACATAGACTTAAATAAAAATAATATTATAACCATTAAGAAAAATTTCAATCTTTCATAATTAAATTAATTTCCAAAACCAACTTAAATTACCAAAATTAACCTTGGACAATTTAAAAAACAAAAACCAATTAAACCCATAACCCCCTTTATTAACATTCCAACAGGTCTAACCCAATACCCCCTCTATCTAAAATTAACATTATCTTACATGGCTGATTAATTAAACCAACCGTTCACTTATTAACCCGTTACTTATTAGAATTAAATAATATCCGAATAAACCCTTATTTATTTTTTACCTAAAAAATAATTACAATTAATTAATTTTTTTTTATCATTAATTAAAAATCGTTAATTAAACAAGTTAAATTGTTTTAATTTCTAAACAACTAACAAAAAATCTTTTCCAAACATTCCAACCCAATAAAATCAAAATTCTTAATTTTTTTTTTTTTTTTTTTTCAATGGTTATCTTTTGTTTTTAGAACAATTAAACTTATTTAATTTTTTTTTTTCATTTTTTTTTTTCCCACTTCTCTTTTCTCCCAATTAACCAATTCTTTAAAAATAAAAATTTTAACTTTTAATTTTCCAAACCCTATTTATCTTTTTACACAACAAAACAATTTTTTTTTAAAACAAAAAAAACAGATTATTTTCCTATTCACCAATACCAAAATAAAATAATAAATCCTAACCACATAATTTTTCAATCATAAATACCATAATACGGTAATACTAGCCTTTTACAAGCTCACACACACCACTTAACTAAATAGAATACACTACTTATAGATCAATTTAAAATATACACAAAACAAAAATTCAATTTTATATAACAATCAATTAAATATACATACCCAAAATACAATATACCTAGCACATTACAATTTTTCAATGTTTAACCCAAATACCATAAATATAATTTCTAAACCGTATACAAAATACATGGACCCGAATTTTAAAATAAAACAATTATTACAAAAATTATGCGTTCCTTGTTTTTAAACAGATAATGCAGAGAACAATGTGGTACATTTCTATAGCAATCATAATCCATAACCAAACAAATACAAAAAACTGTAATACTACAAACACATCCAATTCTTATTATCAAATTTTTTTTTTATTCATTTATAAGATAATCAAAAGTAATCCAATAACAATTAAACATTTAATTTAAAATCACAAATTTTACAATCAACAAATTAAAAAGTAATTGCCATTCACTAATACCCCAGAATTGAAATTATAATACTTATAAACATACAACTACTAAATAATTAAATTAATAGTTAAAACAAAATACCTCATTACTTAAAGTTAATTTGTTACCCCAATACCCAAAAACAAATCCAAACATTTTGTTCATTACAATCCCGTCCCATTAACCCATATAATTTTACCAAAAGTCATCACCACAACCAATCCCACAATAATAACAATAAATTTTTAAATCAATCCTGTTTTAATCAAATGTGTCCATTTATAACTTCTAATCCATTAAATGAACAACAAATCATTTTTAAAACATGAAAACTTTTATGTAAACCTTGAAAAAAAAATATTAAATCAATAAAAAATAATCTCACGTTATCAATAATTTGAATTTTAGTGGTAATAAGACATGTAGCGTATGAAGATCGTAAGAGCATTCGTAGTTTGTATACAAATGTAATAACATCCATGTCAGTGGTATCCCACAATGGAGAGCATAAATGATTAATAGTAATTCTTAAAATATTTCTCTTTTCCACGGGTATTTTAATACTGAAGCCGCCTTTTGTTATAATTTCGTTTATATGTTCCAATAACGCAGAGTAACTGTTTTCTGTAGAATGAAAATAATAAAATAGGTGGCAAAATCAAGAAACAGTCAACTTACGAGATGAGTTTTTATTTGGCCAACATTTTATATTTTCCAATTCATCAATAGGAACTTTAATAGACATGTCAAAGATATGACCAAAAGATGAAGACGTTTGATATGGTTTAGAATCAATTATGGGATTTTGCTTATAACGCCAAGCAATCTTCAAGTCTTCGTTAGCATCAAATTTATAATCACTGTCTTCTTGAACTGGCTTAGGTAGATCCTTCATCTGGAATAACCAAAATTTATTTTTAAAAAGCAGCATAGTCTCGAAATAGCCATTGGACAATGTGAAAATTTACAATTTGACAAGCAAGTGTAAAATAACAATTTTTTTAAATTAATAATACACTGTGCGGAAGTGGGATACGATAACTAGATAGAAATAGTTCACACACAGGAGAAGAAGATATCTTCGCATACTCTAAAGCTAACGACCAACATCGTACTATAAAGCGTTGTCTAGTAAATGTTATAAATTTTCAATGCAATTATTTCAAACAATTTTTTAATTTATGTGTGTTGTAGTCTAACTGGTTTTTGCCTAAAACTAACACAGATTTATGGTACAAAAGTTACAGTAGTAATTAATATAACACAGACATATATATATATATTAATGTGTTTTAAAACTTGTTAGGTTGGAAGCCGGTTGTAGCTTTAACCCACCAAATCGAATACCCTACGTGAGGTCTACTCATAGAGTAATTACAAACAAACAAATATTAGTAATTTATTTACTATTTGTAATAGGTTGGAAAATTACTAATCAGCTTTATATTGAAACTTACAATTTGTTCGGGTGATAATTCAATGCTAGCTAGTAAAACCGAATGATCACAGGCAACTCCCTCGGCGATGAAATGTTTTAAAATTAGATCTGCATTTCGACCATGCCCTTCTTCTTCTGCATAAAGTAAGAAACATAACTCTTTATACATGCATTGTTGTTACTATTTGTTTTTTTTTATAAGTATAAACATACATAATTAAAAAAAAAAAATCTAATTGGTCGTAAAGCTGCATATCTCTTCAATAGGTTAAGTTAAAGATATTTCCATTTAAAAACTACACCTCATTTAAAAAACGTTTGTTTTTAAGGATAAAAATATTACAATAATTGTAAAAATCTTTATGAACATCTTATTTCAACAATGTTGTAATTTTTAAAATTTTTAATTTTTTTTATAAAATTAAAAATAATTTCAGTAACTTAAAGCCTAATGGCTAAAATTATAAAACATGGTTTAGCCTGCTGGCTCCTGAATAGTGATTATTTCTGATCTATAATCTTCTTGCGATTTATGACGATAGTGTAGTCCTAATTATAAGTTCTGGCCAAAACGTTTGCATGACAACGGCGACTCTTTATATTATACGTTTAAAGTAGACGCACTACTATTGTGTCGTTTTCGAGTTGGGAGGCCAAGGCTAAAGCATGTTCCATGCTAAAATTGTAATTTTTTTCAACTAAAGCTTAATTATTAACTATTTAATTATTTATATTATAACTGCCACACATACCGACAAAAATAATAGTGCCTAATGGAATACCGCCATCTAAAACAATATAATATACACAATTAATACAAGTCTGTTTAAAGAGTTTTAATAGTTAAAAAATGAAGTTGAATGACTACCTAAGACGGCGTCCAAAGATATAATTCCTGACGAAACGAGTATTTGATTTTTAGTCACCGATGTTTTTGTACCCTTTAATTTCAAACTCTTTCTTTGAGTTATCGTGTGTGCCTGTAGGACAAGTAAAGACATTATTATTCAAAGTATTACGACTGACACAACATTCTATATATCAACAGAAGTTGGTAAAAAAATATCAATAATTTTAATTAAAGTACGTCAAACAGTCAAATTGAAAATAAGTAAATAATACAAAACGTCAATGAGGTACTGATAATAAGTATAACTGATATGATAAATGATAATTTACGTTTTTTTTTTTTTTGGATTAATTTTTCACTTATCACGTCATTAAGTGTACATTGTATGCTATCAGTATTATTAGTATGTTGCAGTTTTCTCTTCGAGTTCGACAGTTCGACTACGGTACCACAGATGGTGTGTATTTGTTTATGGCGTTGTTTGTGTAACTGATGTTATGACATAAGTGAAAATACATTTTCCGATTTTTTTTCCAACGTTTGGATTTTAATTAAGTTGCTTGCGACGGAATCAATACTTAAAACGCAAAACAAATCTTTGAAGATAAATTTCGTTGAACCATGTCGAAAAACTTGGGTAAGTAAAAAATGGGTATAAATTATTATTACTCAACTAAATATTGTTGGACATAAAGATTATATGTTTAAATTTTTGTTTCAGTACAATGCCAACAACACCCCGACGCTCCATTGATTGAAGATTACAGGGCCGGCGATCAGATTTGTTCTGAATGTGGACTCGTGGTAGGGGATCGCGTTATAGACGTAGGTTCCGAATGGCGAACATTTAGCAATGACAAAAACAGCAACGCCGCCGATCCTTCACGTGTGGGAGCCGCAGAAAATCCATTGCTCAACGGATCGGACTTATCAACATTAGTCGGCCCGTCTAGAGGAGACGCTTCATTCGACGAGTTCGGCGGAATGAAGTACAAGAACAAAGGGATGGTGTGCTCAAGTAATCGTTCTTTGTCGAATGCCTATAGAGAAATCGGTTTGATGGCAGACCGTATAAACTTACCTCGTAACATTGTAGATAGAGCCAATGTTTTATTTAAACAAGTACACGATGGTAAAAACTTGAAAGGTCGCTCAAACGACGCAATAGCTTCTGCGAGTTTATACATAGCGTGTCGACAGGAAGGTGTTCCGCGTACATTTAAAGAAATTTGTGCCGTTAGCAAAGTGAGCAAGAAAGAAATTGGACGTGTGTTCAAATTAATTTTAAAAGCATTGGAAACAAGTGTGGATTTGATAACAACGGGCGACTTCATGTCCAGATTTTGTTGCAATTTGAGTCTGCCAAACATGGTACAAAGAGCAGCTACACACATTGCCAAGAAGGCTGTTGAACACGACATTGTTCCTGGTCGTTCACCAATTTCGGTAGCGGCAGCTGCTATATTTATGGCGTCTCAGGCGTCAGACGAAAAACGTTCGCAAAAAGAAATTGGTGATATTGCAGGGGTAGCAGAAGTGACAATCAAACAGTCGTATAAGTTGATATTAGCCAATGCCGCTTTATTATTTCCAGAAGACTTTAAATTTGTTACTCCAATCTCAGAACTCCCGACATCCTAATGACATATATTACAAAAAAGTGTATTTTTTTAAAAATTTTACTACAAATTAGTTAATGAAGTATTTATAATAAGTTCAATATATGTATACCTTACAATTAATAAAATTTAAGGTTTGGAATTCAAAGAGAAATATCTCGTTGTTTAAATAGTAACGAAAACTACTCCTAAAATAATCTTTGCGATTATCATGAACCATCCATGAAAAAATTTATTTTATAAAAATAAAAACATAAGTATAAAATGTTTAAGAAGATGTGGTGTGTATGGATCAGTAGCAAATAACAAATACTGATCAATGCTGCATCCGACGTTGCTACTTCTCAGAATTTCAGCAACAACTCTATGCTCCTAACCTATACCCATTCCAAAACTGAACACAACTTAATTAACTCTTTGAGAAGCACACAACCTCTTGGTAAATTCTTGTTAATGACCAAAGCAGTTGAAGTAGTAAAAAACAAGAGTTCATTACTCTCATTATTTGTTTTTCTTTGACAAATGTTATTTAATCGAACTGAAAAGATTAAAATTTGATAAACAAGTAATGTAAAATGGACTATGTGCTAAACACTATGTCAATAAGTTGTACTTTTGAACCCAGATTATCTGCTGCATTGTCCACAGAGTTCCCCGGGTTGTCACATCGACTTGTATTAGGTGTTCCTAACAAAATCTTTTTAGAATTTTGTAGGCCAAAAAACTGTTAATGGTTAAGTAAAAGTAGTCCAAACTATGTTCATAAAAAGTCCAAGTGTAAAAACAGGTTATAAAAGACAGCAACCTAAGATTATCGAGTAAACACAAGTACACTTATATATTATTGAAATGGAAATGTTTTTATTTTTTTTTTTCATTTTTATCATCCTATTACGAAACTTATTTTGAAATTGAACTTACATTTCACTGGAGAAATTTTTAATAACATATATTTTATGACTAATGTTTTTTTCCGAGTTAGATGTTCATTTAATTTTTTTACAAAAAATTGTAATCTTAGAGTTAGATCTACCATTTAAGAAAAAATAAGTATAAAGTAAACAAACAAAGACGCTTAAAGTTAATAGTTATAAATGAAAATTATAAAAAAAATCTCTAATATTTAAGTTGAGTAAAATGAATAAATATAAAATTTAATATTAAATTGTTAACATTCTAATAATAATAACAAGCATACAATCATATTATATTGGTTACAATTCTGCACAATTACTATTTTCAGTTATTACAATGACAAATAAAGTTAAATCATTTTGTTCTCGTCCACATTGATTTGGGGGTAGTATTTTCTTTTATCATTCAGATGGAGTTGTATATAAATTGATATTTTAACATACTGTGATAAAAACAAATTTATTATACAATTTTAAGAAGAAACCCACATACAGTTGAAACATCTAAAAATAAATAGCACAACTATATATATTATTTTATTTAGTTGTTAATTATTATATATTCATATATTTTTAATAATAATAATAATAATGATAAAAAATTGACACAGAAAAAACATGCTTAATATGAATAAATAGCATACAAGAACTCTCAAATCACTGTTTGGGATAAATTTATGACATAAATATTATATATATATATATACGATACACTTCTTTTTAAATACATAAATTGTTTCCTAAAAGAGAACGACTACAAAAACTTCGACTACTTACACAGCAGAAATGAGTTCACAAAACTTATGCTTAAGTCTACACGCATCATATTTATATAAAGTATAAAATGTAATATTATTCATTAGCCACCAACGATTTATCGTCTTTACAATCTGTGCTTTGTGATTTGGAACTATTATCAATTTTCTCTTCAGTTTTAGAATCGACATTTCCATTGGTGTTATCAATTTTATTGGTTATGGGCATCGGTGGTTCGACAATCAAGCCTGTTAAAAAAAAAAATCAATATTTCAATAAATTTAACTAGTTAACTAGATATTATTTTTATCTAACCTGCATTTGATACAAAATAGTTGTTTGAGGTCTGACTTTTGTTCATAAAATGTTGCATAGGTACGCTGGATTGCATACGCATATTTTGAGGCGGAGGCATTCTCTGTAAATGTGGGAATGTCGATACTGGCCTTTGAATGGGAGACGGATACTGAGGAGCAACGTTAGGTGCCATCGATCCGCTAGTACTGTTGTTCATATTCATTCGAGGCTGTTGCATCAAAGGCTATAATAAACACACATAAAAACAATAAATTTGCAATCAAAATTGGGCCAATGTGGTTTAAGTGGTTATTAGAACTTTACAAATTTGGAAAAAATTGTAAATACTTAACTATATTTTAACATATTAGTGCAACTAAGTTTAATTCAAAACATATACATATTTTTATTATGAATATACTAACCAATTGATTATTTTGAGATGCCGAAACTTGATAACTACTATATTTTCCTTGTAAAGCTTGATGGGTTTGTTGATTAGAATTCATTAATTGCTTATTCGCTATATAAATAAAAAAAAAAAATTGTTAGCATACGAATCTTATAAGAAATTATAAGAATATAAAACTCCTCACTTTCAAAAAATGGTTGTTGTCTAAAAATATTGGAGGAAAACATTGCATTTCCAATGTCCTGTTGATTAGATACACCAGACTTTTGAAGATCGTTATTACCACCACTACTTATATTTCCTTTCGGGTAATGAACTTGACGAGACTAATGAAATATTAATAAATTATTAAACCGTCGAGGCGTTTATAGCGATCAAATTATAAAAAAATATTTTCGTGCATTACCTGATAAGTATAGTTTTGCATATTTGGAGGTGGGGCGTTTTGTGGAGAACCAAATGCATTTGGTATGCCAAATGTATTACCGGACGCACCAGCCACTACTTGTGCTTGGAATGCAGAAGCGACATTTGGAATAAAACCAGCATTAGTTGGTCCTGCTATACAATTGTTAAATAGTTATCGAGAATTTACTAGATTTATATAAGAATTAACAAAAAAATAAAATTTAAAAAAAATAACAACATACTCGTTGAATTGGTTGAATACAACGATGACGAAGACTGCAATGGAGTGGCTCGTGCATTATTTATCGTGTTGTATTGTTGATTAAACATAGTATTTGGATCATATTGTACCATGTACTAAAAAAAAAACAATTAATAAATAACTATATAATATGCGGATTGAAAGAATAAAAAAAAAAACCATACCGATGATGGTGTTGTAGCATTATAAGTTGCCTTATTCCCAATAGCTCCTATCTGCTGTGAAGCCTGTTTCACTTGAGAAGAAGAAGAATTAGTACTGCTTGGTATTAATACTGGGTTTATATTTGTATTTATTTGCTGTCCATTATTATAGGGCTGAAAACGTCAAAGTATTTTCAGTATAAAAATATTCGTTGATTAATAAAATTATCATACCGGTCCAATTCTGAATGGGGAAATGGACGATTGAAAAACTTCCGAAGCCCCTTGACCACCAGGTGTATTTGGGTGGATGAACATCGAAGGATTAAACTGAGAGTTTTGATTCAAACCGTTCGATTGGAGACCATAAGTAAATTGATTAAACTGAGAACGTGTGGCGTTACTTATCACCTACATTTGATAGAAAACGGTAAGTATAAATATTATGTTATGACAAAACCTAGGTAACACACACAAATTAAAACAAAATGGATAAATAATTAATTATATCAATGTACTTACAGTTTGAGTTGGTTCTAACATGGTTTGATAAACTTGAGGTGCTGATGGTGATGGCGGTGGCATAAGATGTTGTTGGGCCGAATTGAAAATCATAGCGGCTGAAGACGGGGACGGTCCTGGAGCAGCAGACACATATTGTTTAGCCAACATTTCTACTCCATTTTTGCTGTTTGTATTCAATATCAAGTGTGTTTGTTGCTGTTTCAACATGTGAGCACCGTAAATATCGGCTATGCCATCACTATTCTCCATCATAATCTAAAATGCAAAAAATTAATATTTCATCTCGTAGGATCAAATGATATTAGGGATATCAAGCGATATTGGGTATTGATATTAAATAAAAGTCAAGCTGATGATGATTATTTAATTTATCCTTATTTATCAGTCTTAACATAATACAAAGAAACAAGAACATAGTGATTTACTTGTAAATTCATGTGAGTTGCTTGGGTTGGAATAGTATTTGCAAGCGGCGTGGTCGATGTAAGTGGTTGAGGTGTAGTAGATGAGCTGAACGCATGAGTGCTGGTCGACGACTGCTGTTGGTTTAATGGGGGCGAAATTGTACCCTGCGGTTGAGGTTTAACCTTGAGAAATATCAACAGATTATAAATGAGATTTTACCTTTTTTGGCTCCTTCTATTTACCTTGCATACGTTTGTGGTAGCTGCATTTGGATCTTGTTTGAGTTGACTCGCCGCAGCCATCGACACAGGAATGTATGACCCGGCAACATTTTGTAATTGAGGAGCCGGACTAAAGTATTCAATAACAATAAAAAAATGTTGATTAATAAACAATTTTTTTTAATTCTAATTAATACAGGAAACATCTGAAGTAATTATAATTGGATATACCACGTAACCACAATGTTAATAAGCAGATATGAACAAACAAATATTAGACTACGGGTTATTTATAACAAAAAATGTCACGTACCAAAGTACATACCTGTACACTTGCTGATTATGAACTCTCTGCTGTTCATCAATAACAGACATTTCTGATTTATCGTGTTGTCCGCTGCCAGCTGTGCTATAAACAGTGTTGAACGCACTTTCAGCAATATTTTGTTGATTCGATTCTGGTTTATCATCCCAAACCTGAAAGGTATAAATGTACACCCTTGACTACTGCACAGCTTTATTGTTTTAAATAATTTATAATAAAAAGGCATAATGTCTTAATAAAATAAAAATGTCGGCACAAAAACTAATTTTAAATTGTACAAAACATTTTACCTGGTTCAAGTTCATCACTACACAGTTCCAAAGGGTTCAGGCCAAAAAACAATTTACCTTACCTAACCTATAAGGAACTATTTCTTGTTTTGGAACTACTTGAAAAGGGCTCAGAACACAGACTGGACTTTTAGAAGTATTATTTAAATAGGCCGGTGAGGCATTTTAAAGGTTATTTTTTTTTTTTGTATTCTGTGGATTGTACTAAGTTCAATCCATTGGATTAAACATATTCACTGTTGATTAGTTTTCAATACAAATATAAGTTTAATTTTACAATATAAGTCCGATCATAACAATTTTTAAGTTTGTTATCTTTTAAAGTGTGTACTAAAATAAAATAATTTTAACTTCTAAATATTGTTTTTAAGAGTTTTATTTAGATATTAAGATATAATTTATTTTTACGTACCTTCTTGGTTCCAGCTATCATTGTTTTTAAATCACTAGCTGCTAATGATGATGGTCCAGTATGCATAGATCTGGAATGTGACGCCATTGCCATAACATTGTCCTTATTGTCAGATGCCAAATGCCCACCACTATGAGTGAAATCAGATTCAAAATCACCGAATCCGAGATTGAGCTCAGAATTATCATCATTCTAAAATATTATAAGAAAAAGAAAATTGTACACAAAACATATCAATGAAATGTAAATCTCAAAGAATAAATAGATAAAAAATAGTTTTGGTTATTAAACTGTCAGATGATTATAAATTAATACAAACACATAAACAAATGAATCTATATCACTTTAAATATAAAACTTTAATTTGGACGCAACTTACTTTGAAAGTCATAGACATTTGTACAGCATCATTCATTTTTGAATCTTTATTATCAGGTTTTGAAGATTTAAATGCCCTGAAGCAATTGTCTTGAGCATCTTCATTAAAATTACACGATTCTGGAAATATTAATAAATATTTAGAACACATGTATTTTGTTAAAAAGAAATATGATAGACCTCTTTGTGGGTAAAGGGAGAATGATAACAATTTAGCTGTGAAAATATATTTCTACACGTTTAACATTGGGAAAAAAAATCCCATACCTAATATTATTAAAAAAAAAAACCATTTTCATATCAAATAATTTTTCCTTAAAAAAGTATAATTAAATGATAATTCAATTAATCCTAGTTAATCCAATAGTTTTTATCGAAATCTACAAAAGTTGTTTACTAGAATGGACTAACATCAACATTAATAGCATTTAATTAAACTTTTATTTTATATAAATATTCAAAAAGTCTCCATTGTTGTAATGACACTGGGGACTCAAAGGGTTAATAATGAGTTAAAAATAATATCTGTTTAAAATATAAAAAGAGGAAATGGCATGTTTATTGATGCTTACCTTTTTCACGTTGCTTCATGTTTGAGCCATACTTATTTTTGGATTCCCCGCAAGGTTTCGATTTATAAGTTGTATTTTCGAATATAATAGTTTCCATTCGTTGTGTTGTATCAAGAATACCATTTTCCATTACATTAGGACACATTTTCTCTTTGCTTGACACCATTCTTTGCACCGATTGGCTAGGAATTTCTTGAATATCAGTCAAACTATAAACGTATTAATAATTAGTCAATGCTAACATAATTATCTACTATATGTAGTGTAAAATATTATACTTTAGTTGCTATTCAATCTAAGATATTGAGTGTATCGATGATCAAACCAATATATTAAGACATAAAAGCACGTAAATCATCATAATATAATCTGTATAGTTTTTGAACTTTTTATTTAAGTCACTTAAAATAAATTGACTTTAGATTTATGAATTTTTTTTTTCTTCTATACTTAGTGTTCTAATTAAGTACCTAAAGGTACTTAAAATACTTGAAAGTAGAGTGCAGTATTATCTTATGAAACCCAGTGTTCCTTTTTTAATATTTAAATTAAACAGAATTACCCATACCGATAATAATATAATTTATTTTACATTACATTAATTTTAAAAAAATTTCTTAGTTTAATGCTATACTACTTGTTGAACTTATTTATTCACAATACCTGTTGGCCCTGTTGTTGGATTGATTGACTGGTTTATTCACGTTAGGAGACTGAGCCCTCAGTGCATGAGTTATGGGTTTATCCCAAGCATTTGTTTGTGGAGGAGGTGCAGGTTTGTTACTAACCATTACTACAGCATCTATTTGAATAATTTAAAATATTAAGTTATGTACTTTGTATTTTAATTATATCAGGTGTTTAAACAATTTGGATATCAGTAATGGATTACATTTCTAAACATAAATAATTAATGCTAAGGTTGTTAGAGTATTATAATAAATATTTTTTTGTATTCAATACCTTTAATAACAGGAGCGTCGTCCGCACCAAGTTGAGACTGGTTTTTCTGTCTTAATTGCCCCGATTTAGAATTGTTAACACTTTGATTGGACCTGGATGCTGATGAATTTGCCGGTTCTTTACGTTTACTTTGATTTGACAAACGACTTTTTTGCTGTGTATCGGCAGATTTTCTAGAGTCTTCTTTTTTATTAGAACGAACGTCTTGGGAATTACATCCTACATAATTAATAAATTTAGCCGTTTTGAAATAAGTAAAATAATAATAAGTTTATTAAAATAATAATAATAATTTAACTAAAGTGTTTAAAGAATTTTAATCGATACAGAAGTTTGCAGACTTTATTATTACATTATTAATTATAATAATTATTAAACAACAAAATATTACCTCCAAAGTTTTTTAAATCACTTGCTGTAGATAATGCTGACTTTTGGTTCGGCTTTTCATTACTGCTCGATTCTTTTGGTTGTTCTTTCTTATCGTAATTATTTCTTTTATCCCTATAAAAATGTTTTCAAAATTAGTGAGAAAAGTAAAAAATATGCTATTAGTCCAAATTTGTATTAGTTTTACCTTGAAGACGACATGTATGTGAGGCTCATTTGACGACGATTATTACTACTTTTTTGTTGAGCTTCATAATCACTGGGTTCACTAATTGACTCCCAGTTGTCTTCTTGTTTTTGACTACTATAAGGTCTATTGCTTTGTTTAGAGCCAAATCGACCTTCACCTCCTCTCCGATTTCCTTCACCATACGAGTCCGATTTCGATTGTGATTTGGATGAATTTTTATTTCTGTTTGAATTATTATTCTGATTTGGTTTATTGAGTTTGTCAGCACTTTCATCAGTATTGTTTTTTTGACCATTTCGACCATTAATCATACGTGAATCTCTTCCTCCAATTCCTCTTCCTCTTTGATCTGATCGTTGGCTATATCCTCGCAGTGAGGATTTGTCTGAGTAGCGATCGTTTTGCTGGCGATTACTACAACCTCTATTTCTATCATCACGATTTCGGTCATCGTTCCTGTTACGATCTTCACCACGATTTCTGTCGTCACCGCGATTTCTGTCTTCACCCCGATTTCTGTCGTCACCACGATTTCTGTTTTCTCCACGATATTTATCATCACGTCTCGATGGACCTCTAGATCGTTGACCTTGATCTTCATACGGCTCTGCCCATGTATTTTTTCTACTTGACCCCGACCTAGAAACTGTTCGAGAATTGATACTCTGATGAAATGAACGTGACCCACCAATATTGCGATCAGATCTCAGTCCCTTATGCTGAGACAATGTAGAGGAAGTACCAGAACTGTTTTCGAAAGACGATTTTTGTTCTAGAAATATTTTTTTTCTTTTATTAGTTTTTCCTATTTAGGATATTTTCCAAGTAACAGGAGCTCTACTCTAATGCCCCCTCGGAATTGAATTGGGGTAAAATAATAATTAAAAAAAAAAAAAAACTAGTTCTAAAAACTCGTCGGGAAATTCATATCGAAAACTTGGAAATAATAAATAAATAATCTACTCTAATGCTCCTGTTTCTTGATATGAACTGTACGGACAACATAGACCAAGGATGGGGAAAAAATAAAAATTCTGCGCATATATAATGAAAAAAATACCTGTTGTTTTATTGTCGTCTTCGTGTCTTGTGTTGTTTTTACTGCTTTTGGCATCATGATCATATATTTTTTCTTGGGACATTTTACTTTTATTAGTAGGGGCAAGATCCCAAACTCCAAGTTTGGTCTTGGACAATGAATCATCACCCTAGAAAAAAATTTTATTTCTAGTTAAAAAAAATGAAAAGATTTTTAATATTTTAAAATGTCACTACATTTTAATTAATAGATTACAAATAGCAGGAATTTGAAGGGGGGGGGGAGACGAAAGAGCATTAGCCTTCCCTCTCATCAGGCGTATTTTAAAAAACAATTTTATTCACACTAGGCTATTTACTGTTATAGCTGTTTTCAAATGTTGTGCATTTTACTTGAAAAAATACAAATACATTTCATAACTGATAAATGACATAAATAGTTTTCAACAGAGCAGTTGATATAGTTAAAATATAAAAGTTTATAAATATAATATCAGCCTTAAAAGCTTATTTTTTTTTTATAGTAATAATATTTATTGCAACAATGGCTAACCTGATGATCATTTTTTTTGCCATCTTTTCTTTCACTTCTCACCAATTGAGTCAAATTTCGTTTTGGCTCAGAGGTCAGCTCGCATGCTTCAAATTTTTCCTGAGTGATAGGTCCAGGTATGTGGATTTTACCCTAAAATTACAGCATTAGGTTAGAAACATAATTAATACAGATACTGATAAATTAGAAGTCTTTAATGATATTGATATTTTTTTTTTAGGTAATTTTGCGATTTCCATATCTAATTGAAATATCACAAAATTTCAATTGTCAATAAATGTTAAATAATATAAAGCTAAATTTAAAATCAATATAATACAGATCAATCGATCAAAACGTGTTACTCCCGACTGCACATGCACATACAAGAGCAACACATTTTGGTTTCTGGGCAATCCCATTCTCTCGTGAGTAAAGTTGTATTTATTTCGACAAATTTTAATCTTAATACGAGCACAAAAAAAAAAATTTATATATTTAAACTAACATATTGGCCAGATGGATTTATGTCATCTTTGTAATATTCTTTTCCCAGGGATTTTTGAGACCACAGGTAAGTGTCTTCATCAACATTCCTTTAAAAAAAAAAAAAAAATGAAAGTAAATAAGTATGTAAATCATTAAAAAAATGATCTTATTTTTGTTGAAGTAATTTATACGAAAATTACTTACAAGTTTTCTTTTTCTATATCCTCCGGGGTTTCTATTGAATCGTGTGAGGGAAATTTAGGTACTTTTGCATAAGACTCTTTCTTGTCGTTTCTATCGTAACAACCATACACGTCGTCGTTTTGCACTTTAGAACCAGAATCCTGAAAGATTTAAATTTAAAAATAAAATGATTATTATGTAAGTATGCGATACAATGATTTATAGCATTTTTGATTATATATTATTAATAAATATAGCCAATAAACAAGCTTGATTTACTTTAGTTGAGGACTAGAATGACTTACCCCAAATAGTTATGAAAAACTCAAAAGAATTATTGTTTGAATAGAATACTACTTACACTTCTTTTGAAGTCGCGTTTGTTATCATATCCTTTTCTAGTGGTGTCATCGTTCCTAGAAGAATTATCATTGTGTGCATATCTCTCAGATTTATCTTTATCTGATCGAGGTTTTTCTCTTTTAAACCTAAGACATGAATCATCGGTTATTAAATACACTAATGTAATTCATCAAAAAACAAAGTGCAAAGTCTGACACCTTATACTACCCAGTAGGACATTAAGTTACATAACAATTATAAGTGTGATATAATGAGTTTATATATAAAAAAATTAATATTTTAAACATACCTATCAAATTCTGGTCGTTTATCTCGTTTTAAACTTGAAGATTTATTATTAGAATGTTCATCTTCAATCCATGAATCACTTCGATACTCAGAATATCCACTGCTACTCATATCACTGTCTGTACGACAGAGGGTTCTTAGAGCTTCTACAAAAGTTGACAAATGCATCACGAAATTAGATTATAATTGTAATAAAAATGAAGTAGGGGAAATTACTTGTATACACGACATTTTGAACTTTAACTGCGTCTAAAGTTTGTTCAGATAGTTTGTGAAGTCTCAAGGGTAAATACTTACTATTAGAATCTTTATTGTCTTCGTCGTTTCTATCTTTTACAGATTCGGATCGAGTTTTTAATAAATCATCTTTAGATTCTTTATCCTGCAATTAAAAAAAAAGTATTTGTTAAATTATTTTACAAAAACACATTTATTGCCCAAGTGAATCTATATAGTGTTTACTTGGTTTTCAATATTGTCACTGTCAAATTTCTTTAACTTGGCTTCTTCAAATCGTTTCATTTCTTCCAACTTTCTATCTTTAGCACGTTGCAAAACCGTATTTAATTCCTCAGCACGTGTCGCTCTACCGACAGTTTCTTCATCATATTCGTCATCAATTTGCCGCTCTTCCTGTAAAATATCGCAATTAAAAATAGTCACGACAAATAAGTGTAAAAAAAACAAAAAAAACAAATTACTTGACGCGAAGGTGGCCTATAATAGTTCATATAATCAGAGTTATAAGGAATACCATTAATGTGCATCGGTCCAAACACATTCTCCTGCAAACGTAAGAAGTTATTAATGTAATATTCAAGCAATTAATTTGCACATGCAAATAACACGTAATACAAATCATACACACCTTTTGAACTAGATTTGAATCGGAATTAGGATGCTTGTTAAATAAGTAACCCATTGAACTTTCGGATTTATGTTTAATATCCCCGTTCAACGCCTGCTTATTAGATTTTTCATTAGATTGCTCTTCATCATCGCTAAAGTCCAATTTTTTACTAAAAAATTTCAATTTGTTTTTAGAATTTACTAAAAATATACGTTATATATATATATATTTGTTTCTTGTACTCACTTGTAATCGATTTCTCCATGAATAGACCACCCAGCTTCTTTGGACAGCTCAGTCATTCTTTTTAAATCTTCTTCGCGTATAATCGGTGGTGGTACTAGTTCTTTAATATCTCCCGATGGCGACTTGGAAGAACTATCAGTTCCTATTAAGGAAGGAGAAGCAGCGTGAGGCATTTTCTCAGAGAGATAAGCATTTTGCTTGGGTTGATGTAGCATCACATTTTCTGACTGATTCGATACCATCTAATAAAAATGAGTAATATACACAGTATATAAAACAGAAACATTAAAAAAAAAAAAAAATAAGTAAATTAAATTTAGTCTTACAAATGTGGGCAACATATTTCTCATAACTGGATTTTTACTATATTGCATGTGATAAGGATTTAGGCCGACCTGGGCCCCGCCCACCCCATTTAGGACCGAATTGTTCCGTACGCCATTCACATTTTCTGTCCCTAAAGACAAAATCAAATAATACTATAATTCAAGTTTTTTAATTAACAAACTATTTTATTTACATCAAACAGTCGTACATATCTAAAATATGAATTTAATTAACATTATATAATTACCGGAAGATGATTGAGATAGATGAGCTTGGACTGAAGTTCCGATAGAACTGCTGACACCTGGAGGCATTTGAGGCCGGCTGCCACCTTGCATCCAGCTTGTTTCGGCTATAATAAATAGAAGTTTTAAAAACAAATTCTTATTTTTATTAAATATAAAAAATAAAATTGTGGTACTTTGTGGACGTAGAGAAGGCCTCTGCTCTGTGTTGGCCAGCGACATATTCACATTTGTTTGATTTTTGTGTTCTCCACTTGAGGTTAGGCTTGGGAATTCTTGTTGAAATTGCATTGTCCGATGTGTTAAATAAGTGGGGGCGGCAACTGGAACGTCGACAATTTTTTTGGCCCATGTTTTCCCATCGGCATGAGAAGGCTAAAACAAGAAAATCTTTTGTCAGTAAACGAAAACCGAAAATAATAATAATAAAACAAATGGACTCACTCTTGTTGTTGTAGTGGTTACTTGCACGGAAGTAGAATGGGACAAAGCATGTTGTTGCCCCGTTACAGGCCCACTTTGGGACAATTGCGGAGTTGTTGTGGGAGTCGATGTCGGTGGCAACTCTTTGCCCGCAGCCTGAATAAAATTCAGTTCGTAACACATCACTTTGTGCACATTTACATGATTTAATAAAAACAAATATTTACCACAAGTGGTTTCTCTGTTTGTTTGTTTCCCCATCCTGCACCGCCGATTGGGACTAGATTAATTGAAGACTCGTGGCTAGACTCCGATTTTTCACTTGGCAAATTAACTGGATTACGGACATTTCGAATGACTTTTCCAATAGGCTGCAATCCATTTTTACGCGGTACAATGCTTTTATGTTGATTAATCTCAGTAGATTCTCCCTTCAGAAGTGAAATTGGACATTATTATTGGATAATACAGTAATACTTATATATTTCTATGTAACAACAAGTCTACAAACCTTGTATAAATTATTTATTTTCAATGATTGGAATGAGTTCTTTCCTTTGCTTTTCTCCCCCTTCAAACTGACCCCTGACAATGTAGACATACTGTCTGCAAGGCACCATTTAGATTATAAACTCGCCCGTAGAACGTACCTTTGATCTAGAAAAAATAAATATAAAAAACATATCAATACAGTTAAAATTATTTTTCACATTTACAAGTAAATGTCAGTCATGAATAAGACAAACATTCACACATCTACTGGTAAAATCTACCTAAACTGCTCAATAAATATTTTAAATGATCCGAGTATTACTTAATATGGTACTTATTTAATTATAAATGTCATCAAAATAAATCACATATTACTTAATGTTTAATACAATTAGCAATGAAAGCATGGTTATTGAATTGTTCCATTTACATTTAAATTAAGTTAACGCAAAACATTTAAAAGTTATACTTCAATCTTAGCTGTTCACGCATAATACAATAACTTAAGATTAAGCCAAAATAAAAATATTCAATAAATAATATTTTATATTATTAAAACACAAACCGTTTTAATATATCTAGATTTAAAACTACAAAACCATACAAACAATCGCAGTCACCAATTTTCAGCCTAAATACATTACACAAACATATTTTTTAAAGAGGTTTAGATAGGTTTATTGGCTAGTGTTGAATAAAATGTATATAGTTTTTAACAATAATAATAATAATCACTTAAACAAATTAATAATATATTGAGCTAGAATTCTTAGAAATATTTTGAAAAAAACAAATGAAAAACATTTAAACCAATTACGCAAACATTGAAGTTTCTCAGAATGGTTTTGTTAATCTATTTATGACATAAAAATGTAGAATAAGTGATAATCAATTAATTTTTGGCAACACCATGCTCCATCAACTGACAAAATCATAAATGTATCGACAGAAGATTTTATTAATACAACTATTGGCCGTTTCACTTAGGTATTTATCTCTTGCAATGGTATTTTCTTTGAATCAAAATATTGGCCATAGTTTTCACAAAATACTACTAATATCAAAAATAAAAGGTAAACTTAACTAGAAATTATTAGAAAACACAAATACCTTTTAGTGTAATTTCCGATAAACCAAACATTGTCGATAAAATTGTACATAAAAGGATAATTTAATGCAAAAAAAAAAAAAAAAATAGAAGAAAATGTATTTTAATAATTCAAACAAATAAGAAACCTTATAATAATAAAACGCTATTGGCTCGCCATCGGATGTCTCGGAAACAATTCAACCACCAAAAACAAATACTTACAGTTACAATTATAGAAATCTACTTATCAGAATGCTGCCATGCACGAGGCGGTAAAGGACACTTTTTCCAACAACAAGGTTGACTAAAAAAAAATTAAAGGAGATGCAGCCCCGAGGATACAAAAATAGGGTGGCAAACACAACTAGATATTTTGTTGGAGTCGGCGAGAAAGAGACGACGGAAAAACGCGACACCGAGATGGACTTGAACTCGGTGTAAGGTCAAACGTCATGTTGTATAAGCAAATGATTATTATTCGAAACAAAAACATTGGGAAAGACAGCGGTGGCGGCGGCGGCGGCAGGTTATAATATAATAGTGTAAGCGCCTTTGTTTTTGTTTGATGCGCCAAGACAAAATATCGGGGGTACTCACTTAGGTCCGTCCAAATGGGGGTGCACGCGACAAATAAAAACAATTATAATTAATAATAATAATTATTAATAAAAAAAAACTTATATACAACTAACACGGTCGAGTACGGCGGAACTTGAAACAACGATGCGAAAACTGAAGCGGAATTGTCAATTTTTTTTATCAAACATTACATCGAAAAAACACAAAATGGCGTCTCTCTAATACATTGGAAACCTTCATTCAACACATTTTTGCGTTGTGTGCGCCGCACACCCGCCACGCCTACAATCCCGACACGGGCGCAGTGCCGGCACGGCCGGGGATTTCTCCTCGTCTCGACATTTTCACACTAAATTGTTGTTGTAATGTTATATTATTAATAATCGCTACAGCACACCGCCTGCCAAGGCAAGCGCGAAATCGCGTTAAACACACGCGTTTTTTAAATAATATTTTTTTTTCCTTTCATTTCCAAACCTTTTTGCTTTTGCCAGTAGCGCGTCGGACGAAACAATATCAAAATAATTATCGTGTGCCACTGAAAACGGAAAAAAACAACCGTGCAGCACCACTGCAACAGCGGTGGTTGATACCAGCGCGCGAACCGAGGGGTGGTGTAAAAGACGGGCTACCACTCACCGCCGCGCCGCGCACCCTTCGTCGTCCGGTCACTGCGCACCGGGTTACTACCCGACCGGATTCCTCACCGCCGGGTGAACGACCGCCCGCGTCTGCCACGGCGACGTCACTGCCGCCACCCGTCTTTTCCCTCGCGCTCGGCACCCGACACCACCGTGGTAGAGAACAACGGTACATGTTATTATTTTATTTTCTCACGTTTTTGTTGAGAAAACGAAAATACCAAAACTCACCCTTGACTTGGCCAGCTACGGCCACGGTAAACGTGTTTACTTAAATAGTAAACGGGAGAATTGGAATTTTGCGCATCCCCTGCACCTGTCCCGACCAAAACACATATATACTAGTGATGGGAATATGATGGATTCGAATCATTCGAATATTCAAATAGTAATAATAATTAATTTACCAACAGTTTTTTTTCAACTATTCGTATAATTATTGGAATATTCGATTATTCGAATCTTTAAAAATTAGGTTTTCGAATCCTAATTACAACGCATAATAACATGATATATTAAGAGGGCGTCGCACCGTCCATTTTTAAGAAGTAAATTATAGGCAATTTCTTACAAAATCTTAATTTAAAGGTTAAACTGTGATGTGTAATTATTAGTTCAATAACTAGGACTCTATTTTGGTAGTTAATTTATTTTCTGGACTATCGCAGCATCATTGAAAGCGATTTAAAAATGTTTTTTCATCTCTACTTGTTTAAGCAGACTGAAAATAACTCGCTTAATTTTGGATTTAGAGTAAAAGCATCCATTGTAAAATCAAAAGATAACAGTATTTCGAAGGGCAACACGCCCTTCGCGAAGGTGCGTTTTTTTCGTTATTCTAAGTATATAGCGCTCATTACATAGTTTAGAAATAACGACTATTTTAACATTTTTAAATGACTGTAATTTTCAAAAAATTAATTTTTTTAAAAAAACGCACCGTCTTGCCCTCCGGAATATTGTTCTCTTTTAATTTTATAATGGTTGCTTTTACTCTAAAACCAAAATTAAGCGAGTTATTTTTAGTCTGCTTAACAGATATGTTTTTACCACTAAAAATCACCGGTGCGACGCCCTCGTAAGCACAATCAAAATTATTCGTTCGTAAATATTCGTTATTTTTTAATTTGTTTGTAAAAAAATATTAAGTTTAGATTTCGAAAAAATTAAAACGCTACCCCATGGATAAAGTTCTTCTATATAAAAATTTGGTAAATTTACTGTCAATACAAAGCAGTTTTGATGGGAAATTTTTTTTAATTTGTCCTATAGAAATGACTGTGATAGTCTGACAACAAAAATAATAGCAATCGACAAAGTATCCTCATTGCATTACAGTTCAAACTCTAATTTAAGATTTTTCGAAAAATTGCCTATATTTTACTCCTTAGAAATGGCTTGGGCAGCGTCTTCTTAAAAAATGAATACTATTGTATTTTATTAAGTGTTTGTTATTATTTATGATGATGTATTTTGTCTTCTATTATTCTACTAAGCAGACTGTTTTGGCGAAGGATGTGTCCAATTGACTTATATTATTGTTTATTTATTCAGCAGGGATGTATCGGTAAAATTGTTTGAATAATTTTCTCGTTGAGTAAAACACGAATATAATTTTGTACATAATATGTTTAGTATTAAAAAATTAATTTAAATTCTTTAAAGAATTTACATTAGTCCCTCTTAAACTATAGCCTGTATTTTAATTGTACAAATAGGCGGTGGTGGTATATGCCTTCATAAAAAGTTGTATATCTAATACACTAAAAGCGCCTTCCACTGAAGTCTGAGGATAACCTTTTTTTGAAATTTATTCAACACTAATTATAATACAATCAGTGAACATTTTTTTACAATAAGTAAAAATTTGAATTAACTGGTTACTAAAAACAATGTGTTGTTTTTGTACAATTCTCGTTTTATAACTAAAAATATATTTTTCAATTCTGCAAATTAGTTTTACAATGACTTATTTCCTATAGAAAACTTGTGTTATTTTTTTAAATTTTAATTCTGTGAATGTGATATTAATTTTATTAAACGACATAAAAGAAGTTTTTAATTTTCCTATTTATTGCGGTCTAATACTCGTCAACGATTATATTGTTCATTCGTATCGGCTAATGTCTGTGTTTTATGTAATTCTCTCAGTTTTACACATATCGATAAAAATTGCCGTTAAGACACATTTTACAGAGTTCAGGACATTTTTTGTATACTGTTAAACTTACAATATCTGTTAGTATTGATTTAATATGCATGCACGTTAAACAACACATACCAGCGTTGCTAGTGTAAACAATATGTTTACACTACACGAACTTACTACCTATTTTAAGTTATTAAACACACTGTACTAAGTCGAAAATCTCTAAAAAGAAAAACTACAATTGACGGTTATTGTTGATGATGATGTAAAACAAACTATTGAACAAATATCTCCTGGCCGCTTTTAAATTTGCGCCTGAAAACGTTATAAATGCACAACACTTATGGCACTCGTTTAAATATATTTTAAGGGGTTAAACATAGGCAACTGCAAAAAATAGTTTAAATCCTGAATTTTACTAGCACATTCTTTATTGGCATACTATGCCATTTTTTTTTCTTCAAAACAATCCTTTGCTTTACAAGTGTATATAAAACAATACATATTATCAAAAATATTAACAGCAAATATAATTTTCAAAAAAAACAAGAGCTGTCAAGCAAGCTTAAATTTTTTTTTTTATAATCGCAATATAATTAATAATATTTTTTATTGATAATAATTATTATCTATTATTTATTTTTATAGGTTTACTAATTTTTTTTTTTTTGTAGGTATATACACATATTTCATACGATTTTTTTCTAATTATCTCATATCAATATCCTCAATACACATTATACACATAGAATGAATGTTTTGAGTTTTATAAAAAAAAATAACCACAATTTTATAGAATCAACGAAAAATATGTATTGGTTATATTATATTGTAATACTATTGTTCGTATTGCTATAATGAAAAATACATAACATATTTATAAAGGTACGGGTACAGTCAAAAGGTTGTGTTAATTTCACAAAAATGTATACCTAATAAAATCACGGTAATATTATGTATAATATAAAGATTATTTACAGTTGTTATTTCTTTTTGAATTTCAACAAAACAATAGCTTAAATACCACAACATAGCGCGTATTTCACAATACATATAAATCACAAGTTGTTAAAATAAAATACAAATATTATAATAATAAAGATGAAAAGATAAAAGAAAATTAACAAATTCATAGAGCTCGGAAAACATAATTCACCAAGCTTTTATCAGTGTCGACGACACATCAAAGTCACTCTTGGCACATAACACAACAGTTAATATTGTCCGAGTAAAATAATTAAAAAAGTTTTTCAAATAATCATAAACAAACAAACATATAATCAGATTTCAAGCCCGTCTACACCACAAACAATGTTATTACACAATAATTCAGTTAGCACAATATTGTTGATGGTCCGGAAACAGTTTAATTTCTTCTATATTTTCCCCAAATTTTATTCGATTCAAGGTTGTTGAGCATGCAGGGGCTGCTTAGGTAAGAAGTTGGTGGATAACACTACTAGGTTGTAGTGACACAACCGAACGGGGAAGGTATTATAAACCTTCTCGGAAATAAATCCTGGTCAGCTCACTGTAATATATTAAGTAGATACTCGTGAAAAGTCTTCAGAACTATGGACCATAATTGTGAATTTTAAAGCATTTTTTTTTTTTAATACACCCTCATTAAACAACAGTGTTTGCGTTTATTTCGCAACACATTGACATGTTCTGAAAGCTTCCAAACAACTAAAAATTGCTTACACACACGTTTATTTATAATAAAATCAAAGTATGTTAATTAAATCATCGTCGCATCAATAAGGGTGAATGGCTGCGATGCCTATCCTGCCGTTGACGTGATGCTGCCGGTACAACGGATCTTGTGGAGGCAAAAGCGGCGGCTGATGGTGGCGCCTGTGGTACGGTTCGGCGTAACTGTGCCTGTACCTGGGCGACACCGGGGCCGCATCCATCGGGTAAGCCGGGACGTCTTCGTTAGTCCGCTTGTCCATGTCGCGTCTGCCGTAGCCGCCGCTGAGCTCGCCGCCGCGGTGGTCGTCGTACGCGTACGCCTCCGACCGTCGTTTGTAATCGACGTCGTCCCGCCGGCCGCCTTCCGACGTGCCGACGTCCCAGTGTCGTCCGTAACCGGAACTACTGCCGGCGTTTTCGTAGGCGGCCGTGGACCGCCGCTTGTAGTCGGACCGCGGCGCAGCGTCGTTGCCGAAGTGGTTTCGCCTGGGCGCGGCCCTGGGCACTTCGACCGTTCGCCTCTGAGGACTACCGTACCTTACGTCCGACGACGACGGCCTGTAGTTAATACTGTTCTGTTCTAGGTAATCGTCAGAATAGCTCCTCGGAACCGATCGGGGTTCGAGTTCTTCCTGTTTGGGACAAAAAAAAAAACCGTTCACTATATTAATATAGTTAATTATATAATGTACAGGTGATAAACTTTACGTAAGACATTCATTTTCTTTTAAAATAATGCGGTTTTATACTGATAGATCTCCAGAAAATAAATAAAAAAGTTATTCTAACATTGTAAAAAACATAAAAAAAAAATTAGAAAACCGCTATTTTTTTCGGAGAAAATGAGTATTTTACGTTAAAATAATCACCCTGTATACTATTGAGAATTAAACCTGAATAGTTTTGATTTAAATAACAAATAATTATTTAAAATACATTTGTATTTAGTGTATCAAATCATTTTTAGCAACTGAACCAAAATATACATATTTATTATAGATAATAAATTATTTGAAATATTATAATTTCTAACGAGGAATCAATTGGTATTAACAAAGTATGAATAAACGGTATTTTGTTTTTTCTTATAAAAATGTATAATAAATATAATATGAAACACTAAAATATAATCGTATTAACGATATTGTTTTGACCCTAAACACGGGTGCAAGATATGACTCTGACTCCATAATTAATATTTCTGTTGGCTCTAAAGAATAATTTCGGGGCTATTAAATATGATTTTAATATTATTTATATAATATGTAGGTAGCATACATTGCTATTTGCTGGTCAAGGTGTTATACTTTCAAGAATAAGAGAAGTTAGTTAGTTGAGAAACAACTCCTCCGACCAATGGACCTAAAAAATATCTATTATTGCACTTTTCACTTTTGAAAGAAAAATTAACACGATGAAGTTTTTTTAAAACACATCAGAGAAATTCTCTAAGTACACACAAAACGATTGGATGGTAAAAGTATAATAATTTAGGTAGGCAATTTGTTATCATTATTATTTTATAGTTAATATAATGAGACTATAATACACATGTCTGTGTTAGTAACAGACATTTAGTTAACAATTATCATCGTTTCGCTACCTTATAATTTTTACAAGTGCTCATTAATTGATATCATGTAATTAATAAGCGTTGAGCATGATAACATACATTTATAACAATATGATGGCATGTGAAAACTTAAAGAGATGTTGCGGTACTTATTTATTTTGTGTTTCGCCGGTTTCACCAGAAATGGTAAAATAAGAAAAATTAATATTATTTTAAAAAAGCGGTGATCTGCGTTAACACGTTCAATTAAACCATATATTTTATAATATCTATTAGAAGAGAGCCAAATAACAAAACTAAACTTTTATATGCTTTCTTATAAAACGACAATAAAGGTATTTGAACTACATTTTTTTTTTAAATAATCATACAACTTAAGCGTTGGGCATTAAACGAGTTGAAAGTTAATATTTTTATGAGTTTTTTAAACGTTAAAACAAGCGATTTTGGGACATCTGTTCGATTCTCTTGGAATAACCGGGATGTTAATCAACTATTACTATAAGTCAACCGGTCAATTTCAACGATTTTTTTTTCAAAATTTCTCGTTTTATTTGAAGCAAATCCAAAATATACACATTGAATGCAATTATTTTGTTACAGTGCAGTTATTTAGTCAGGGTTTTGATGTTTAGGTCTTTCGATTGTAAAATTATACGTACTTTCGATACTAATAAATAACACTTTAAAACATACAAACCAGAAATTTTTCTAAAAATAAATCCGGGAATTGTTTGATTCTAGGCGGATATCCGTGGCTAATTTAAAACTGTAGACTACCGCTAAGAGTAAAGTTTGGTTTGGTTTGGTTAGGTTAAGTCGAGTTTGATTTAGTTATGTTTATTTAGGCAAGGTTAATAATTACTTGTATGATCCTCGATCGTCTAGTGGCTACTGGTTTTGGATAGTCCTCGTAGTCGTAATCACAATCTTCTTTGCAACAGCTGAGTCTCCTGTCCCCCCTGTGAACCTCTTCCTCGTCGTATTCGTCGACGTATCTACTAGGGCGATCCACTTCGTCGTCGGAGTCGTGGGCCTTGGACCAATTACTATTCCTAGATCCTCTCACCGCCTCTCGGATCATAGCGGGCTTTGCTTCTTTCCGTTGTCGTTCCAGACATTTTTTCAGGGCCGACCTCTGCTCGTCGATTCGTTCTTTCTCCAGCATGAGGAATTTTTCTTTAGCGTCTTTGAACCTATCTCTGGGAGTATCTTTGACGGAAGTCCGGTCCGGCGAAGGCGTCCGCTGTCGGACTTCCACCGGTTTCCGACGTTGTTCGGGCGCTGCGGTCGGCTTCCTGGTCGCATCGTTCTTTTTCCGAGGTCTCGGCTCGACCAGCGCCACGTTGCGATCCGAGTACTTTTCCCGGATGTCCGGCGCAATCGTTTGTTTCCGGAAATCGTTGCCGTCGACGCGCTCCTGCTTGTTGCCATAGTAGTCTTTTTCCGTCGACGTCACCGGACTAGCGTTGCTGTCCACGCCGCTGTCCTGTCTCCTTACTCTAGGCACCGGATGTTCGGCCGCGGACTTGGCGAACAGCGGTTCTTCGAACGAACCGGCGTTCCAGTCGTCATCTGCAAAATAAAAATAAAAACCATTTCCGTTAATGTCTCGTCGCATCACAAGTCTCAAAAATAATGTAGTCGACGTCTTCTCTTCAAGCTAACCGAAAGCGTTAACTCGTCAAGAAACCGTCTTCTCACAATGGCATCGATGGGACTTCAAGGCCTGTTGTTGTTAAGCTACATGACGTTGAAAAAGAAAACATTTCGAGTAATGTATGGGTAATATACTACAGTCATGTGACCTCCTTTGAAAACTAAGCCAATAAATTGCCGCTCGATTATTGGAATACTTTCCGTACGAATTTTCCCTCTTACAATAGAACCGCAGATGATGTTCCAAATATTCCACATTACCAGAAACACACACACACACATCTTATCTAGACTACGTTTTGGCGAAAACCGCTCCATTCTCACTCGTCCGAATTATCCTAGACCATTATCCTCCTTACATTCACCATAAATATCCATAGATTTGCCACTAATGTTAACATTGTATTATTGTTTGTTTATAAATAACAAATATACAAAATGTATTTGACCATTACGAGTTATTTGAAATAAAATTGTTTTCTTTTACCGAGATGGTGTTTTTTTTTTTAATTTAAGAAATACACTAACATAATAGTAATTATTGTCAGGTACCATAAACTAATTTTAATATATTCAGAGTTAAGTTAGTCCGGTACTCGATACTCATAATCTCAATATTTTCAAAGTAGGATATTAAATTTCAAACCTATTTAAATATTTTAATATTATATTTCTATACTATTTATCGTACATCACAATGATGATTGTGCTAGAATTTCTAATCCCCCCGAAAGACCGGTTTTTAACGACTAAAGGTTTTCAATTCTCATAAACGTAGGTTATGGACTTGATGTAGGTTATGTCGAAAATAAATTCTATTAAAAACATCAATGTCGTAAAAAAAAAAAATATATTTTATTCGCAGTTAAATGTATATTGATGTGTACTTATTGAATGTGTTTCCTATGAACAGACAGAGTCGCCGAGTCCCATCGTTAACCGCTAAGTGCAGTACAATGATTGGCATGATGTTCAGCATCAATTTCTCATTGTAATATATTTTACTTCTCATCACATCTAACAGCGTATAGTAACAATAATAAAATGTTTGTAGTTCCGGTTAGGCCCAGTTTAACCTCAGGCCGATTCATCCATCAAGTAATTTATTGAAAATAACTCCAGTTGTAATATTTTGTTATTTAAACCAGCATTGAAATACTGGTAAAAAATGATCGGTAGATTTATATATATATATTTTATGTTTTTTTTTACGTTTTAAGAATGAAATTTCGTTTTGAACAGATTTAGTGGACCGTAACAGCATTTATTAGCACTTGCCAATCTGACTTATTTATTCGTGAATAATATATTTGCACTATTTATGTAATTTTTAAAATGTAAAATTATTTACTACATTTAATATTGGAATTTTTAAGTTATAACTTTTGTGTTATATTTACTGTTTGTTTCAAAACGTTGTTCGAATTTCAAATAAAATTCAAAGCATGAGCCGAAGCTAATTTTAACCCTTACCGTTTCACCGCTGTTGCCAACACAACGCAACTTAATATCCCTCTGGGTCTGGGAAACCCTGTCGATACGGTACGGGTTAAACAAAATACATGAATCGCAAATTGGCATTATTCACACGTTGTATTGCGTTAATTTGTAATTAATTTGAATCAATTTTAAACACAATTTTTTTTTTATATATCGATATCGACCCAATAATTGGGGCACCAAGGTGAAAAATATTAAGGCACGAATGCGAAAAAATTGCGCCCGACGACCTAATAAACTTAAGTGTGGTCTCGCGGCGATCAAAGTAGCATTTTTTCGATTTTGCCAACCGGTTTTAACGGGTCGATCACCTAGAAATCCACAGTCCTATACATAAGTACATACATACATACCCACAACGCGTATTACTTTGGCCCGCGAAATCCTTTCTCTTGTGTGTCGTCACCGAAAATAATGATCCACATAAATCTTACTCGCACCACACACCGTACGTAGCTGATGCCATAGATATTGTATACTGGCTACAATAATATAGTATATGTATATCGGTAACCAGTAACCGGTAACCGCAAAAACCATTACGGTACCCCCGGTTAAACCCAAACGTACGCGATAAACGAACACCCGGTCGGTACGGATCGATTGCACGCAAGTAAATAATATTATAATGGGCTCGCTAAGAAGTTTAAAACAATGGTAGTTGTGTTTTAATCGTTTAATGCGGCACATTTCGCACGGTGTTGTTTTTTTTTTGACGTTTGTTTTGGTAGCCGCGAATGGGCATGAGAAAGAGGTCGTTGCGTTCACCGGGTTGCCTCAAAACAACAGCTCTAATCGTAATAATAATAATAAAAATATCGAGTAAACATGTAAAAATTGGCTTAGACAAAACCGCGAAAAAAATTATCCCATTCGACGTGGTGTAAAACCAGCTGGATATCGCCCTGCAACGATCTAAAAAATGATTACAAAACCAATAATTCCATAACAGGTGGGTTAACCTAACGTATTAAATTATACTGTACCTATCGATTGGCAATAATACGAACTAGGTAGAAACTTGGGCCTTGGCCGTAAGGTGTGACTACTCTATCTACATATATAGATACATATATACTAAGCTCACCGGTATAGCTAGTTGTGAAACGCGATTTTGAGTGTTGAAAATACCTCAAATTGGGGGGAGAGGACGTTTTGGGAATTTTAAAAATAAAAAGCTACTCTTCCTCTTTCAGAAGGAACAAAATAACTATTTATAATAATGAAATTGTGCCCAATATTTACAATGTCCCACAACAATACTGTAGCTTAGTACTGTGACTCGGTGAAGTATAAAATATATAGTATAGGTACTTAATAGTTTTATTGTTTTATTAAAAAAAAATTATGATCTGAACTGTTCTAGCCTGAATGAAGCAAAAATTACAATAAAAACACCAAAAATGTTTTCAAAACAGGGGCGCAATTTCGCTTAAATAAGTGGGAGATACTTAAGCACTGGAAACTATTAAAAAACCTATCTTCTAGTTACTTATGGTAGTAACACAAACAATTAGGGGTGTGCTAATTTTAAAACTAAGGGTGTTAAGCACACTCGTGGTCTATCAAATTGCGTCTGTTCTCGAAGTTGGTAGTTGTATAGATATAATATTACTATAGTTCTATTAAAATAACCACCATGGTAATATTATAATAATATGTTAGTTGTACGTTTTTTCAAAAAGATGAACGCAGAAAATATAGGTGGGGGAGGGTAGTTTTACTCTGTACCCTCCTTTTGGACATCCATAACTAGAGAAATTCGTCCCCTCTTTCTGATAAACATACGCTTAAATACTTGTACTATTTAGTAAATAAATACTTTATGGGTTCTAAAATTGGAATTGTTTTTTACTTTGGAAGACCAAAGAAAACGTGTAACTTTCGCCCTAAGCCAAAGAGAGCCTCGGATCCGCAATAATGCTATTACACGAATGGATTAAATTAATATATATTGAAATGATATTTTTATAAATCAGCGCTTAGCGTTTCTATATGTGTTCTACAATAAGCGTGCGGATTTTTTTGAAATTTGTATTTGGGCACGCGAGTGGAGGTGTGAACGTAGAGGTCGCATGGTGTAACCTATTATATTTTATAATCTTATATTATTATCATTATTATTATTGGTATACCTACACAAAACGGAATAATAATAATCGATCAAATCTTTTTTCAAACGTCCGCGAACAATAATTAGAAATTTGTTTTTTATTTTTGTAGACGTGTCTGAAAATTCATACGGAGAAAGTGCACTAGATGAGTTTTGTATAATAATAATAATACAAGTGCTCCGAGACGCGGTTACAACCGTTATTCGAATGAGCATAGAAGCATGCATCAGCACATACACTTCAACTGCAGCTCATGTTACTTTTTTATTTTCATATATTTTTTTTACGATCGATATAAGTATAAATCGGCGAGTGTAATTACAATTTTACCCGAGAAACGTGTCTGTATGATTTTAATACGACTATGATTATTACTAGACGTAATATAGCATATTAATATATTATCTACTTACTATTAAAGTAATAAAGTACACCGGTACACGTTGTTGTACTGTATACATACATTATAATATTATGCATTATTGATTCTAAATGATACATAATGAGAACATATTTTATTGTAGATATAATTCCAATGAACTTCAGTAGATAGTTGTTTTCTTTGAAAATAATTGCAATTTTGTAGTTTTTATTTACGGAAGACATTTTTGTTAATGTTATATTTTATATTCTACAGTACCTAAACAATATTAAAATGTACTAGAGTTCTATCGAAACTTTTAAAACCAAATAAGAATTGTCGACAAGAATTGAACGATTATTTTTAAAGTTAGGAAGAGTGGGGTGTAATATCTATTATTTTTAACCATATATGCAATACTCAACCACACTCCACTTCCCGTTCTAAATTCTATCAAAAGTCGATAGAGCTCTGGGGACAGAACTAAAAAAAAAAATATAAATATTTAGTAATTTTATAATATTGTATAAACAACGTTATTTTCAAAAAGAAAAACCACAAAATTGCAATTATTTGAATAGATATTTAGTGTCTTGCATTAAATGTACCACCCTGTATATTATATATATATATATGTATATACAGTGTACACATTATGACAGGTCGGTTACGGCGCGTTATTCCGTATAATATTCCGTATATTACGCTCAACACATAGTATTTATTATAGTATTAGAAGAATTAAGATATTATTATTATTATCATTATTGTTGTAATATGCAACCGATGAAACGTTTTGCACGGTGTCGGCCAAAAAAATATAAAATCATCGTGTATCGTTTCATGGATTGTTATAAAGCGCGATAGAAAACTCGTGTAAACGCGTGTTGATGGCATAGAAAGAAAAATTGTTTTATAAAAAAAAATGTAAGTATATATAT